GTGTAAGTATTTTTTTCTTTATTTTGTTTCATAGGTTGTAAATTGATCTTGGACTTGAGATGCAATATCCAGGTAGAAGTAGGTACTCAATTGTTAGTCGAAACTTCTGTGTTTTCGGCAGTGGATTCTTCAATATAATTTTATCATGATCCAGATAAAATTTTCAGTGTTATTGAATGACTATTTGACATTGTAGTTTTCGATATATTCCTTTTTATATTTTAATAAATTTCTTAGAAACATTGCTTTGTTTCACATGTAGAAAATATTTGTCTTCGAACGGGGTCTATGGAAAGAGACCGATAACTATGAACTGAAAATTAGATGTCCAGAAAAGAAGTTCGTGCAGGAAGTGGGCAAAATGACATGTTTCACATTTGTAGAGGGCACCGCTCAAGTGATCGTGGCCACGAGCAGAGGTTGCGTCATTGTGTACGGTTATACTATAGAATACAGAAAGCAAGTCGAAGATACAAATTTCGAAAACCTCAGGTTCATCAAAGTTCTGAAGATCGATAAAAAGAAAATCAATGTTATTAAAAACATAGACGGGTGAGTGGGAATATTGTGTTTATCCTATTATTCGATAATTTTATTTTTGAATTATTTTCCAGTTTTTTTAATACAAGATCTGCACTGAATGCGTCTGATGATCTAGAGTTTTGAAGTTCTATGTGTATTTTGCACTTATTGTAAAGTAATCGAAACTGCTTTTGATGTTCCTTATATCATTAAAGGTTGACAGATGTTTGAGACAGCGCCTTTTAATAATAAAAATAAGAACAAAATACATTTCGTGATACGTAACCCAACGATGTTTTTCTGCAATTAGAATGAATTCGTAATATTGTACTTACCAAATATGACAAATACGTACAATTATTGTGAATTCAAATAAAACACAATCAGTATAATAAAGTCATATTTATTATCAGTTTAATAATAACGGGCAATAATGGCGGCGAAATACACTTCTATGACGACCAGATGAAGTTACTGTACTGGGTGCACGGCTTCTCCGTGGACAGTGTACGGGGTCTTAGCTTCAACATCTCACCACGTAGTTACAAGATATTCGACCCGATCTGTAAGTAAGAGGATTTTCAAAATGTAAATTGCTTTAAATTAACATCGGGTCTTATGTCAGATTATTTCACAAATATCTATCTATTACTATTTTTAGTATAGGAATTGATCTTGAATGGTTAATTGTTGCTCACTATAGGCAAGAAGCTGTGTCCTTGTTGGGAAAAAGTAGAAACGGAAGTGGACCCAGAGACCGGGGCTTTAAAGCAAAAGCTTCTCAAGATGAAGATCCCGAGCGATGCCACTACCGAAGGAAAACCTTTACTCGTGCGTGATTTCATTATTTGTTAGTATTTTCGATTAGAAATCAAATATTTCAAGAAGTGACAATTTATAAAGAATTCATATTTATTTGAAAATGAATTTTTCAGGTACACATAACGAAGGAGTCGGATTTGTAGATTTTGCTGTGGAAAAAATCCATCCCATCATAGATACCAGGCCTTCGCATGCCTTAACTGTTTCTGTACACCCTGAAAGGTAAGAACCTCTGTGCCAAGCATATAATCTGTTTTAGATCTAAGTTTTTTATCTGATGGTACGTATTACCAGAAAATGTACACGTGTCTGCAAGTAAAAAGGATTTAATTAGAGCCATATTACAGACCATTTGTTTGCATCGGGTACGCGAACGGCTCGATAGAGCTGTTCAATTTCGTACAGCATAAGCTATTCGTGCGGCGGAATCTGCGTGATCACTACAAGGTAGTGATACCACCCAGTGACGACTCCATCAGAGGCAACTACGAGGTTTCCACGCCAGAACTCTCCGTTACTTGTCTCAAATATTCTCCATCAGGTTACTATTAAATTTAACAAGGAGCCGATTCTTATCATTCAGTCATTTTGAAAAACTAGATTCAGTGTTATTTGCTTTGTGTTTTAGGCTTACATCTTGCATGCGGGCTAAGCACTGGCGAGTTGATTTTCTTGGACCCAACCACCATAACCATCCTTAATAAGCTTCCTTTCCGTGATACTTCACATGAGATCAAGGACATAGATTATAGCCCCGATTCGCTCACCATGGCGTACATCGTAAGTTGTCAATTGTATCAAATTGTAAAGTAATCCTAGCTAAACAACCAACCTGCTTCATTATGAACCGTTCGCCGTATTTCATTCCACCATAAGGAAGGCCTGTGCTACAGCAGTGATTACAATGATGGGCTGATGATTATGTACTATATTGTAAAATTCCATTTTTGATATGCGGATGACAATATTACACCCTAAGTAGAAATATTTATAATTCGCACACCAATTACCTGACTTTACATAGAAGTTTCGGTCCATAGGATACTGGTCGCACTATCTGCGTGTACAAATACGATTGTGAGGCGTTAAAATGGAGATTTGTGGGGAAGCACCGGGCTCATTATAAAGACATCACCACAGTGTTATTCCTGCCACACAAGAATGAAGACGGCGAGTACAAGTTGTTGTCATTGGGCGCTGACCGGATCATGGTGGGACAATCTTGATAAACTAAGTTATTGAGTAATACAATATATAAAATCATAGTCTAAATATATGTATGACTGTAGATATAACTCACAGGAGACGAGCCACGCTTCATACATAGTTTGCCCCATAAGTAAATCTGTACGTCACAATCAAATTTGAATTTTTCTCTCCATATTTTATTCAATAATAAGACTATATATAATTTGTGGCTGTAACTAGTGGCGTTTTTAAGTTAATGCTATATTTAATTATCATATCTTTTAACCAACTAATTAGTAAATATTAATTTTCAGTGTAAAAAAAGTAAATTATTATGCTGTTGTGTGATTTTCATATTAAAATAAATTTTGGGTCGTCTACGACAATTTTGGGTCATCTCTTTAATATTAAAGTAAATATCAAAAAATGCAATACCTATGTCAATTAGTTTTCTTAAAGCTTTCCGCCCGCGTGGTCCTGTATTGTAAAAAAACACAAACCTTACTCTTGAGCCACTCTGTGTATTGATGAAAATCGCATTAAAATCCGTATGGTTTGAAAATCTGGAAGCGATTTTGTTTCATGTATAGATAGATATGCCAAAATAATTGTCATTAAAAGTAAAATTTTAAAATCAAATTATTAATGTAAAATTTAAAACATCAATTTAGGTACTCGATCTATACCACATCCAAACAACCAACAATACAAGGCTATTCGCTGCTGGATGCCGGTTTGCTCATAGAGTTCTTGGATTGTTTAGGTGGAGTACGACATTGGTAAATGTAAGGATGAGTACCTGGATATAGCGAGTCTGGACCGAATCGAGCAGACCGCAATCCCGTTGGCCGCCATACCGTGGCCACCGCTACGCGACCTCGACCCCAGCACACACCATTCTGACCTTCAAACCATACTTATCGCTAACGACGAGGTTAACTATTATACTATTATACTTTTTAAGTCAAACTTACTGCCCGAAGATTCGTTATGGATTATGAGTAGATTTTTATTTTGTGGTATTTTTAAATGTAGATCATTTAAAACTAGATCAGATGAGATTGAATATCAACGCAGAGGTCCCATTAATACTGCCTGAGCGCCGCTATTAGATTACCATCATACGGACTACCGTGTACCCAATTCCGCAGTGATGGCTAATCATCAATTTCGGCCACAAATTTAATAGAACTTATCATGACCAGCCCTGCGATTCTGTAAAAATACAGACCCGAATTCGAATTCACTCATTTTTACAGAAGCGAAGGGCTGTATATACCCCTAATCATGGTGGTAGTTTTAATTTGATTACTTTTAGGTTGTATTTTATTTATATTTTTAGAAAATATAAGTTTAAATATATATTTATACATTTTAATTCAAATTTTAAAGTAAAATAATTAATTGTAAATCTGAAACATGTGTAATATTTTAGTACAAATACAAGATTACAAATTATACGACGACTATGACATTGGCGACGGTGCTTGGACCCCGATATGAGCATCCAGTATGCAGATTGCGGCTGGTCTCGCCTAGCAGGTGGGAAACGAGTGACGATGGTGGCGAACACTGTCTAATCTTCGCTACCAACAACGTCATAGGCCTACAAAAATTACCTCTCGATGGAAACCCATGGAAGCATGCCGGAATAATCGCCCATCCACTGCAGGTACAAACATCTTTCACATTACCGACATATATTGCGTACATAATATTTAATTTTAAAACTGCGCTATGAAAATAAAATAATCATGATTCTGGTTCTTAGTATATTTGAATTTATTAGATTATCGGAATGTGTTTCCGGGACGACAAAAGCACTCTCTTTACTATCGGATCCAAGGATAGTTGCATGTGTCAGTGGGATGCGAACTATAGGTAATCTTAAATCTCGATTATTTAATTCTATAAATCAAAAGTAGTGTGCTTGCTGTCTTTATTTAGTCTGTAATTTTGATCTAATAAGATGTTTCTGATGATCAATTTCTCACAAATTGAGAATATTCCCGTCTTCCTTCCAATAATGTTTGGTGCTTCCTTCGAAATCCTTTTTCACGAAGATTGTCTTTGTATTTTATAAAAAACTGAAACGTGTAGGGAACACAACTAAATTACGTTATAATAATATAGATAAATCTATCAAAATATGCGTTAACTTAAATTATGGTTAAATCTAAACTTTACACAGGTCTGTAGAAACTACTATGAAGCAGGGAGGTGAAGATTTGGATCCTTATTACTGCTTGATCGAGAATGGTCGTCCAGGCTGGCTATTCCAAGAGATCCGGGATCTGTTCTACTACATCCAGATCTTGTGTCAAGGGACATTTTCGCCGGCAATGCGGCGTGTCAAAGACTTCATCCCAATCGACTCCCTACCAGATCTGATGAGAGCGTTAGGGTTTTTCCCTTCAGAATACGAGGCAAGTCTCAACATATGTACATACAGAACAATTCATTTACCCCATAAAAATCAATTTCGCGGAAGGAAGCAGCTCACGGGATTTTCTTTATCATCTGAATTCTTTATAATTTAGTATTAATATAGTATATACCATGAATAAACTTAAAACATTAATAAATAATTTTGAGTTACAATCCGGTTTACATTGTTTAGTGATTGCAAGTGGCGTTCGTGTAACAAAATAACTAATTTGCGTAGAAAGTATAGTAATTATTTTTACTCATTAACATCGTTTACAATGTCCTTAAGACTACTAATTCTAAGAAACACAAAAATATTAGACAATTAGCACGATGTGCTTTCTAATTTGCGGAACGGTGACCTGGGTCGTGTCGAGGACTGACCTAGACCCCGAGTGTAGAGTGAGAGAAACTTGTAAAGGAAAGTACTAGGACATAAGAGAAGGAAGTAATAAAGCAGAAATTTACAGCGATGAAAAGAAAGACTGAAGAATTAGGTTGGACGGGTTTCAACATGCAGGCGCGCCTGTCCCACACGTGCACGTTTACTCACATCGTGCTGACGTCTTTGTGTAAATATATAAAATGTGTTAAAATATAAATAATATAGGTAAAAATATTGAAATAAGATGAAACGCTTAGGTGAATATTGTGTTATTGTTATTAATGATGATACTGATGTATCTTCCATTTGGTTGTGACGTGGCATCTAATGTTACTTTTAAATTAATATTAATCATTTAAATATTTCTAGGTTGAAAATTTATTAACGGAAGCGAAATATAAAGTGTACCAAAGAAAGCCATCAACGGAGGTAGACTTCGAAGAGTTCGTAAAGCTATATCTGAACCACCGGCCTGCATTCGGAGACAGCTATTGGCGCATACGGAACGCGTTCCACCATTTCGCGATGAACGAACGGGAGAATTATGTAATGGCACGCGAAGACTTTATCAACATGCTCTCAAACTATGGTACCGTACTAGATATAATTGAAAGTAGTTGTATATTATTTCTTAAAGAAGATAGAGCCAGTTTTGTGAAAATGCCTGATTTCCTACATTTACAAATTGAGTTTTTCATTTCTAGTGATTTACATACGCTTCGTTGTGTTAGGACGTGAAATACGCGAGTGGGCGCGGTATTAAGAACGTACTTTACCGTACCTTAACTGATAACGAGACGAAACCAATCGGCGCGTTAATGAGATCGATTGGGACAAGGAATTGCGTATAGTAATTACTAGCTACCATTACGATTTTGTGTAAAAGAAAGACGAACGAGACTGACAGAACCCTTATAAATATGAGGGTAGTTTGAACTATTTTAATTACGCAGACTTCCAGCTTTGTGGTGTCCACTGTTGCCCCATGTCGATCCATCGAGTCAAACTATAAAAAAGGAGTCTTCCTCGTGGCCAAAATCGTATAGAAATAATGTCGTATCTAGTTTGGTACTGGAAGAAGTGAGTATTGTGTAAGATAGTATGAAGCTAGTCTGAATTTTTCACGAAACCAACAAATGCCCAGTGTCTCATATATGGCACCCATGTCGTCTAGTTTTATATACAGCATTTCAAAATCGGTTACCGGCGTTTCCGTATAGGTGAATGTTTCTCGCAATCTTTATCGTGGTACCTGCTGTCCATACTGTCGGGGCACAGCTTTGAGGACAGAGCCGCTATGACGGAAGGTGATTTTTCGTTTTTGCCCGAGGTAAGAATACATAGTTTATTTTATTGGATACAACAACGATAAGCGTGGGTTGCCTGGGGCGGTGTTTTTGCATGACTACATTTTCTGTCGACTACATTGTATCATACAATGACTGAAATAGCAACTTGCCAGACAAATATTCTTTGTAGGATTGTTACCGTCATTGAACTCGTATAAAGAGCGCTCATAAAAGTACAATAACGTCTAAAGCGTAAATTATAGCAACATCACCTGCATGTGATGCAGCTTCCCTTAGCTGAAGAATTTTCATGATTGGATCAGTCTTTCGATAGATTACGCCCTACGTACAAACACTCAAGTTAAAACTTTAACTCTTTATAATATCAGTATAGATTACTATTTATTCAGGTTTTTTGCTGGAACTATTGTGGTTATATATAAATAACATACATTCTTATTTACAGGAAATAACATTCAGTGACTTGACCACAACTATAATAGGTATTCAAGACATGGACAATCTGTCAGAGCAGTGCTCGTTCAAGGACTCCTGTGGTTCGCAGCAGACTGGCTCTACTATGGATTCTGATGATAAATAATAATACTATTTTGCACCATATATATTTAAATTTGTATTCTCATTTATTAAAACACATTAAATAAAATGACAAATTTTTAATGGAAATGTTAAACAAACTAAAATTGAAAAAAGAAAATGTTTTGAATAAAAGAAAGTTTTGTTGAAAATAAAAATAACATTCCAAGGTTTTACATGAAATACAGTCTCAAACTTTACTATGTATCATTTGTTTGTTTTACTAATTATTTTATTAGGCTTGTGTTTATTTTCAAAAGTATTATGATAATACATAGAAAGTGTTTCCAGATGTAAACATATTTATTTACAGATTACTTAAATAACTTAAAAACTTCATTTTAAAATAAACTAGGATAGCATTTTACACTAAATTTATATTTACAGTCCTGCATATAAATCTATATACATATTAGAAAACCTATCACTCTTTACTGTTTCAGTGAAAAAGAGACCTCTCATGTAATTGTTCATGCTGTGGTTAGGGTTGTATTTTTCAATTGCATTACACATTATATTAGACACAATTAAAATGGATCAACAACATTTGAGTTATAAATCCCATTGTCTAATATATATTATTAATATTTATTAACATGATTCCCAAAAAATTAACATAACTTTTTGTTCACATGAAATTTAAAAATAAGTTATTACTTTTAAATGATACTGTTATTTGGAGACATTTGAACCATCATAAAAACTAAATACAGTATAGATATTTGATGTCCCTTATAGTTTCCAAACCTGAAATGAGACAACTATCATATAGAGTAAGAGAAATTATCATACATACCAGTATGTAATAACCAGTGGTCGGAATTAGGTAGAGTTATTCATGTACTTACACTGATTTCATACAGCGAAAGAATAAAGTGGATATGCCTAAAATCCCGAGATTAATTTTAAAGAGCAGAAAAAATTCCTTGTTTTTTTTTAAATAAAAAGTTATTTACTTATACACAATTTAAACTACTGCACGCACGACGTTGCCAAACTTACGTCAATGAAAGAAAGAAATAAAATAATAAAGAAATCCCGGGAAGGTCCACATTAATATCAACATTTCGATGCAAGTACATAAATAACTCTACCTAATTCTGACCTCTGGGAATAACTAAGCATGATTGATTTGACAATTCTCAACACTTTTGATTCATTACATGCTTTATTATTGAATGACTCAAATAATTTGGAACATAATGGAAGTTATCTATAATCAGTGTATTATGTATAATATTAAGCTATTTTGCTTCATATAGATAATGCTTAATGTGTGGTCCCTAATTTCACTTTGCAATAAAATTGACGGTCAATAATGTATGTCTTTTCAATTGTGATTGTAACATGTTGTAAATGCAGACATTAAAAAAATTCACAGCACATTTGTCTAAATTAAATAATACACACATCAACCTCTAACACACTTAGATGTTAATATAATTCCTGTCTCTGTGATATCATTTAGTTCATTTTTCACAGTATATTAGCCATATTCAATTTTGTAACAAACACCTCAGTCGGTTTTTAATCGTTTGGCAGGTGTTGTAGTACCACTACTTTGGGAATTTGAGTCTTCTGAGAAATTCAAATGTGTGGAAGTGAATTCTGTAGGTCCTTGAGAGTCACTTACAGTTGAAAAACCTGAAAAGATAATATGTCAGTTACGTGTTAATTATGACAGAAAACTGCGGTTTTAAGTATTGTAACTTACATGTATTAGAATCTTCAGCCATTCCGAAGTTAGAATTTGAAGAGTCGTGCATCTTTTTAGGTGTTAGTGCATTTTCTTTATTTTCGCGTTTCGCCGCATGTTTCTTCTTCTGCTCGTTTGTCGAAATTGGTACCCATTTATAAATTTTCATAGTAGTTTCACCAATCGTCACCCATTTCTTTTCCCTGTAAACAGGTAACAAATTTATAAATACATCCAACTAAAACTAAGTATTATACGTAAATAACTAAGCTTTGACACCAAATTATAATAATTCGAAGTTACCAATGGCGAACTTTTTCCACGGCTTGCATGACCCTCTTGATGTCATCTTTAACACGGTTTCTTGTTTCAGCACGAACAGAGCGGGACATTTTAGTAAATAATGTGAAACAACCAGTTAGAAAGAACTATTAACTGGTAAACCTAATTAATATCACGACTATATACTTTCCTACGCTGAAGGGTAAACAGGTTGAGGTTAGCTTTCATGCACAGTAGTAGTAGTAGTATTATAATTCGTCCATGGGACAGGCGAAGGAACTAAGCCATACAGCCAATTTCATGCACAGACTTTCTTTCATCTATTTTTTTTAATACGTTTTACCGGCCCTGGCTTCCATGGCCTTCAGTCTGTCTTTATATTGAGATAATTTATATTTTACCAGCGTTTCCTTTATATATCTGTATAAGTATTTATATATTTCTGGGATCTGCAATAAATCTTGTAATGGGCGGGGTATATCTTTCATACTTTCAAACTTTACAAATTTCAGTTTTTCAATATGTAGGAACGGAAATGACTGTCTTTTGGTCCATTAGTTTAGTGCAAAAATCAACTTTTACTAGAGTCACCATCTAGTGGAGGTGCGTTTTCAGTGCTTTCGTTTTTTTTTAAATACTTCCTCATAATTACTGATAAGTCCCTCACTAGCGAGGTGCCTCGTTTGAGGTCCTCATTTCGACTAGTTGTTTTTCAATTTTGAACCACCTCATTTAGCTCCTCACTTTTTGAAGCTTCAAGCACGAGGCGCGAGCACAGATATTACACCTCCCGCAACAGAATAGCGAGTTGTTTAAAATGAAAAGGTACTTGATACTTACTCAACATGTTCAAGATCGAGGAAATGGGTTAAATTTTGTGAGTTTTTTGGAACGATTCAGGATTGTTTATGTACCTATTTAATTTTTTATAAATATAAAGTTAATAAAAATGTATCGGTTTTATTTAGAAATATGTTTATATGTTCCGAAATATAAATCATTAATCGATTCTAAAAATGGAACATTTGACACTATTAAAAATAAGTTGCGTGTTGTGGTCATTCTGATAAATTATAGTCTGATAAAATTTATTTCTTAGAATTTAAAGACAAAATATGTTTTGTTTAGCATTACCGACTCCCTCCCTCATTTTGTACCAAACGGCAACGTTGCGCGCGCCTCGCTTCGTACTCATTTACACCTACTGTAACATTACCTATTCTCACCTAAAATGAGGGGTAACTCGCTAGCCCCTCACGATGGAAAATGAAGTCCAGACTCATCCTCACTAAAAAAGAATGAGTTACACAACGCTACTCATAATAAAAAGAAATGATGTTGAATATCAAAGACAAAAAATTGCATGTTGAAACCTAGGACAAAATAAACGGTAGTAAGCACACCGTTACAGTACTAAGTCCATGGTTAGACTTGAGTTGAGTTGCCATTTCAAAAGGGCTTTTTGATTTGTCAGATGAGGTTCCGTAAACTTCATTCAAAACTGACAGTGAAATGAAATTGTCAACTGAAAACTAAAAATTACAAATGAAAAAAATCTTTCGGTAGTTTCTGCTGAAAAAAAATTGTAATCAATGTAATAATTTAGACAATGATTTTCTAAAGCTCAGGTAAGTTTCAATAGCTATAATAATCAATGTTCACTATACTTTATCTGAAATTAGATTTATGATACAATTTTAGATGTAGATCAAATTGTGACTTATATTTAGCGGCTGTCAGTTGTTTTACGTCTTATTGAATATTTGAAATTCTACTTGATATTATATTAAGTGCGTGTAATAAAGTTTCATGCCGCCGATGGACTTCAGGGATGCTCATCAATTGCTATGATGCAACGAGATGATAAGGTGCTACTTTTCGTATTTTCGTACTAGCTTTCATATTTCTACATAAGTTGCTATTTGTTCACAGTAGGTTATTTCCGTTTTCTATTATTAGTGGATATGTTATTATGTTAATACAATAATAAAGGACATACATAACCTCAATGGATGGACCTTTCCAACTGTGTTGGATGGCTTAGGTTATGTATTTGTGATAAATCATTTAAAAAAATGCAACTGAGCCATTGAAAAAGAAAAAACTTTTATACTTGAATTAATTCATGTATATTAAGTAAAAAGCTGCCTAGTTTTTTTTTTATTGCCAATTGTCACAGGATGTGTGATTTTAACTGGTAAATTATTAATTATTTAATATTTGGAAAGGGTTGACAATTATAGAGAGAATCATTTTCACAAGATTTCTCACAGACATTTCTTTTAAATGTACAATAAGCTTTCACTTGGTGCCTTTTATGTTCTGTTTGCTGCACTTGTTTATGCCTCTTATGTTTCTGTTGCAGTTGCACCCTGCATGTTGTGTTTGAACTGTAGAAGTGGTAAAGTGACTACATTGTTGGCATTGCCCAGCATAAGGTTCTGCTAAAGAAAACAGTACATCTTTCATTCCCGTATGGCTGCGTATGTTAACCGCTCAATGTCAATGATGGCTGGCGATGGGCCCCACAATGTTGCAATACTCAATAATGGCCCTGTACGTGTCAACATGGCAAATGTGGACTCCCCGCTACAGATATTTGTGAGGGCCAAAAAGAAGATCAATGATATATTTGTTGAAATTGATGACTATGTTAAGGATGCTGTCAGTTTTATGCATGGTGAGTTGGTGTTATTATTACATAATTATATAACAAAGCCGAACACAGCCATCTTTCTGATGTATTGTTTATGTCCAATGTTCTGAGCTATTTGTGTTGAAATTGAATTTGGAGATTGGGACTTGGGAAAAGACAAAGGCAAGTTTAATTTATAAATATTATTTCACATATGTAAATTATTTTCATTCATTAATAAATTTTATTAAAGAATGAATTATAAATCTACAATAAATTATTTTTAAATTAAAAGTGTACAATTGTAGTTTTTAAATATTTATGATAATTAACATAATTGTAATAGTAATTTTATGTTTATTACTCTGTATTAATTTTGTCCATTTTCAATATCTCTACGTTTTTAAATATTTATGATAATTAACATAATTATAATAGTAATTTTATGTTTATTACTCTGTATTAATTTTGTCCATTTTCAATATCTCTACAATGGGCATTCAAGAATTAACATTTGTAGCTTTATTTAGGTCAATGACATTTTCATGTTAAAGTATTTATGTAATATTAGGATGTGACATTGAATTAATTATGTGGCAGCTACCTTGCATCAGTGTTCATGTTGTAGGTATAAAAATATTGGACTACTCAATTTAGTAGTATATAACCTACCATATTCTATAGAATCCTAGATTTTATACAGGCTAAATTAGACTGCCTAGTAACGAAATATTGTGTGTCAAAAGCGAAGTGGTCAGTCTTTATTAATTTTGTCCAAGACAAACTTTTAAAAATAATATAAGTAGTACACATATGAAAATGGGAATACAACAGCTGGCATTTCATTTTTATTTCTTCTTCTCCTTTTTAATTATTGGTGTTGCCCTAATGTATTTTATGAAATTATTCTAACAGATGGAATGTAATTCTATTGTGTACATGTCTATTCTAATATAACATCCTTAAGCCAACAGATGTAGCAGTAAGAAATTATATAAACTTACATATTATTTGCAGCAGTATCAGGTGAAAAGGGAATTGCAACTCCCCAGGATGTGGCCAATGTGGAGGCATATGTCAGTAAAGTGCAGGCTATACGGGAGGTGCTTAAACGTGATCACATGAAGGTTGCATTCTTTGGCAGGTCAGTGTCAGTTTTTTTTTTAAATTATTTAAAACTTTGAATTGTGTGATATAACTATTAATTATACATTTTCAGGACAAGCAATGGTAAAAGCACAGTTATAAACGCCATGTTACATGACAAAATTCTTCCTAGTGGTATAGGGCATACAACCAACTGCTTTTTGCAAGTTGAGGGCTCTGACACCAATGAGGCCTTTCTACGAACTGATGGCTCAGAAGAAAAACTCAATGTACAGGTCAGTAATCTAACTGGAAATTTATAATATGGTAATTCTAAATTCTGATATCATTTATTTGTTTATCAAACCCTGCCTTATTTAAAAATTCAGTTGTCCACATCATTTCCTTCTTCTTTCATAGACTAGGAGTACTTGGCAAACGCATAGATTTAGAGATAACTCATTGGATTTTATTGTCTCATACTTGACTAACAGAGTACAGAGGGTTGATATCAATGGCAAAAGATCCCCTGGATCGAAAAATAAGATGGGCGTTCCGCAGGGCTCAATACTTGGTCCTTTCTTGTTTTTGATTTACATAAATGACTTGCCTTATTTCGTAAGGGATGATCACGAAATAGTTTTGTTTGCGGATGACACTTCACTCTTGTTTAAAATTAAAAGAGGGTTACCTCTAAATGACGATGTGAACAATTCTATCGCTAAAGTAGTACATTGGTTTAATGTAAATAATCTTCTCCTTAATGAAGGAAAATCAAAATGCTTAAAATTTGTACTACCTAATGTTAAAAAAGTAGATATAAATGTTAATGTAAAAGATAAGAACATGGGCCTTGTGGATACCACAGTATTTTTAGGAATAACATTAGATTCTAAACAACAGTGGGGCCCACATATTGATAGATTGTCGAGTAGACTTAGCTCTGCAGCATATGCCGTAATGAAGATACGTAGGTTAACTGACATAGATACTGCCAGATTAGTATACTTCAGTTACTTTCATAGTGTTATGTCATACGGTATCCTATTGTGGGGAAATGCTGCCGACATACAAACAATTTTTGTGCTTCAGAAAAGAGCAATTCGATCAATTTATAATCTTAGGATTAGGGACTCTTTAAGGGAGAAATTTAAGGAAATAGACATTATGACTGTTGCTTCTCAATACATATACGAGAACTTAATGTATGTTCGTAAAAATATTAGTTTGTTTTCTATTAAAAGTGATGTACACAATTTTAATACAAGAAATAAAAATAAATTAACGGTGCCTGTCACTAGACTGCAAAAAGTTAATAACTCTTTCAAGGGTCTTTGTGTGCGCTTCTACAATAAGGTCCCAAGCAAAATACAACAATTAGATATCATGCAGTTTAAATCTACTATTAAAAAAATACTTATTAAAAAAGCTTATTATAAGGTATCCGATTATGTAACAGATAAGAACGCTTGGACTTGAGATGATCCAGCAACTGGATAGGTGATTACTTCTAAACTCATTATCTTGTTTCCATTATTATTAAATGATTATGTTATTATTATAAGACCATAGTTTTTTTTATCTCTGTTTATAATGTATTGATCTGGTAATGACATGGTTTTTGTAAATGTCATTACTCATATTAGAGCTGGTGAGTTTCTTGCTCGTTCTTCTTATCAGCCAAAAGACGTCCCGAACGAGTGGTAGGGAAAAAATGTTGGACGATTCAAAAGTACTTTTAAGAAGTCTATTTGAATAAAGATTATTTTGACTTTGACTTTTGACATAGGTACTAATGTACCCGTCCAGTAAAAGTATCTCACATAAACAAAATCTATCTACCTATCTAGGGTTATTTGATTTAAAAGTAGGTACCCATATTATAAGGATGAATGGATACCTGTTCCCACAAAAAGACAGGTTCTGATTTAATTAACTTGGTTTACATTGATTTTATAACTTTTTACAGCAGGATAATTGCATTGTGAGATTTGTGCATTTCTGTATAACACAAACTTTAATTAGGTAGGTAATCAAATCAATATAATTTATCAGTCTAGACTCTAGACTATTACAAGAACTTTGTGAAAGTAATAAGTAAATATATAAATAAATTTGTTACTACTAGATATATTTTTCTTCAAAATTGGCACTACATTTTCCGCCACATTTATTCAAAAACATTTGCTACAGTATTACTCCATCTTGCTTTTTAACTGAATCCCCCTGACTCTTACAACTGCAAGGCTATTTACTCATGGCTGGATGCAATTCAACCGATATCGATCGATCGTCGATTTAAATTGCATGCACGTATCAATGAAGCGCGATGCATTAGGCTAGTTGACAACTTTTATGTTATTTTTAAATAAATAGTCTATTCATATCTGAGAAATAATGCAGAAGTAACAGCATGTCTTCGATTCTTAGTTTTGGTGAAATCGTAGATCAAACGGGCTAAACACTACACCATCGAGCTTTTCACTTGTAGGAGATAGGAGGGTTATTGCCATATTTTTTGTCAAAATTAATATATTTTGATGATATAGTAAGATTGCGCAACTGAATTGCTTCTCGATTTTGCTGAACAGAAAATCTTAATAGGATCGAAAGCAGATCGAGCTTTCCACCACTCTCATACGTTTGAAGCGATATCGCAGACAGCAGAGTGCGTACATGCAATTCGATATCGAGGAGGTTTGACCGATATCGACAGATTGTGCAATCCTATGAGTAAATTAACTTACGATTTTCCTTACATTTTATAAGGGCGTGCGATTCGTGCGATATCGCTCATCGATATCGAATTGCATCGCATCGAGACTAAAGAGCCTTAATGGCAATTCATGAAATTTGACATTGTCAAAAGTAAAGTGAATGACGTGAGTGTGGGTGGGTCGGGTCCAGTCGGTGAGCCAGTTGGGGCACGCGTTGTGCGCGTCGCGGCTGCAGGAGTGCTCGCTGGTGCACGTGTACTGGCCGCGCGAGCTGTGCGCGCTGCTGCGGGACGACGTCGTGCTGGTGGACAGTCCCGGGGTCGACGTCACGCCCAACCTGGACGAGTGGATCGACCAGTACTGCCTCGACGCTGACGTGTTCGTGCTAGTCGCCAATGCTGAGTCCACGCTCATGGTCACCGTGAGTCATATCTTCACTAGTGATATTATAAAGAGAAAATATTGACAGTTGTTTCTCGAGCAATTTAAAAAACTCTTACCCCAATATAGACTAATATAGACAGTATTTTTTGCAAATTGTAGTCTTCTATATCGATAATTTAATGGTAACTAAAATTTAAAAATTACACATGTGTATCAAATGTCATAGTAATAATCATTTTAACTATATAGGTCAGTGTTTTTCAACCTTTTTCATGGTGCGACTCCCCCCAAAGATATGAAAAATATTTCGCGAACCGCCGACCCTTCGCTTTTTTATAATGTATATAAGTGTACGTTACACTGTAACCGTTACTTACAGTGCTACAAATATTCATTCCATACGAAGTTTTTATGCGTCTACAATTCTACATAATTATCCGAATGGATATAAGCACATAATATAATTCGTAAAACACATTATTTTACAATAGGGATGACGATTAATTTTTGTTTGTTTGTCCGTCAGGTAGAGTGTTAAAAAACATTAAACACGTATTTTTTCGTATTCATAAAATTGCGGCGTTACACGGAGTTGAAATTTCGCATGACGTCACGTTATGGTACGTTTTCTACTCAACTGTGACGTAGCTAGCCCCCACTCCGCAACTTTAATGCCCGTTATCTAAGCTATTTCTTGTTAAATTGAAATAAAAAAATATGTATCTAATATTTTTCTATTATCTGACTGACGGACTAAATAGAATTGTATTTTTTTTTACCCAGTCGTCATCCCTATTACATACATCCAATATGTCGTCCAGTACGTACGACCAAGGTATTATAGGTAGTAGTATAATTTTATTATCGACGTTTAATATCAAATACATAATTTTAGTTCAGTTTACATTAATTTAGATTTGTTCAATACTGTTCAAAATATTACAGCTGTTTTTAAGTTTGTTTAGGTTTTTAAAAGTTTTTATGAGGACAATTGATATGTTTTATATTTATTTTTATTGTTGTTACAGGAAAAAAACTTCTTTCATAAAGTATCAACGAAAATATCGCAACCGAATATATTTATTCTCAATAATCGATGGGATGCATCTGCATCTGAACCAGAATATTTGGACCAAGTGAGTTAATAATAAATAGAAGTTGTAAATGTTTTTTTAATTTTGGTCGATGCGGTTCAATCAGTATTTTTCAAATATTAAATTGACACTAAAATATAATAAAGGCTTTGGCTTTATAAATATACATGTTTTTCATTGTTTAGGTCCGCACACAACACGCGAATCGCTGCGTGGACTTCTTGTCGCGCGAGTTGCGAGTGTGTTCGCCTAAAGAAGCGGAGGAGCGTATCTTCTTCATATCTGCCAAGGAAGCCCTGCTCACGCGCATGCGTGAACGAGAAAAACCTGTCTCATGTTAGTGTATTTTAAATTATAAGAGGTTTTTTTAGTCCAAACATAAATCAGGCCACACAAATTTCTTAATTTTTTAATCAACCTTGTCACTTTCTCCATACAAATTTTATAAAATATCGTTCTAATGTCACTTTGTTGTCCCGTCTCCTAATGTGTGACGTAATTAATGGATAGCCACTAAGTCATAATAATTTGTTCAAATAAAGTTGCTATTTATGGTCACTACTGTGAGTAGGTTTACGGATGATCGTTCTCGACAAGTCTACAGTTTATTTTACTACATATTCCATTGTCAATTAAATATGAAACTATTTTCTTCTTGAATGTATTCTTTTAACAATACTAAATTATGTAAAAAAAGAGTTATTAGTAATTATTTATGTAAATACAGCGCCGATCCTAGCGGACGGCCACCAGGTGCGCTACTTCGAGTTCGTGGACTTCGAGCGCAAGTTCGAGGAGTGCATCAGCCAGTCCGCGGTCCGCACCAAGTTCGCGCAGCACTCGCGACGCGGCAAGAACATCGCCGCAGACGTTATGGCCGCCCTAGAACAGGTACGTTTGGTTACCTAAATAATAATATTAAAAAAGTAAAATAGAACAATTGCATACCCCCTTTTATTTGGGTTTGGTGAGTAATTTAACTTTATTATATTTTATTTGATATAGTCAATACATTTATACAGTAAATTACTGTTGATTGGAATAAAGTATATATAATGTTTCGAATTCGATGAATTTTCACAAAGTTCAAATTACGAAAAAAGAATAAAAAAAACATAGACAAAAAGTTTGCATGCGGAAATCTAGGGTGAAATAAACAGTGGTACGACGCAACGTTACAACGTGACGTTAATGCACTGTACACCAGAGATAGGTTAAGTGTCGAGCCTCTCATTTTTTACCACTCGACTTACTCGATTTAGCCTGTGAGAGCACCAAACTGTCCACGGCAGAGATTTTGAAAGTTGGAACTCTAGGTGAACTCGAAGTTATCAGGAATTTTAAAACAAAAAAAAAAAAAATTTAACAATTCACCGTTTTACTCGTTTCTTCTTGTAAACTATATGAATACTATAAGAGGTAAAGTTTTCAACTTTGTTTCGTGTGTAGAGGTGAGTTTTAAAAATACTGATCTGATCTAAAAATTGTTTCACCTACAAAAAGCTACATACTAAGTGGGTGACATAAACTATAGCTAGTTAAACTAAACTTTGACGCAGAGCCAATGGAAAATAATAAATACATGGACCACTTTGCAACAGAATGTTAGAAGTGAGAACTTTTATAATAATTTGCAAATAAATAATTGTTATCAACAGCGAGCACAATGGACTGTAGTAACAAAGAGATAGTTGAGCAAGAAAAAAGACATATTTAAGAAGAATATGTACAAAAACATAAGGTATCACAGATTGACAGTAACGCAAAGAATAAACAAGTAACAATAAATGACAAAAGTCAAATTCAAAATAAAAAAGAACCTAAAAGCACTCGTCTAAAGAGGCTGGCAAATGGTGATAATTGTTTTTGACATTCTAATTCGCTTAGAATAGAATAGAAAATTGTTTATTGTAAACATTACATACTTAATATAACATTTGCTGCTCTTTTGTTTCATTTCGTCTATTCTTAACTTTTTGGCATCTGAACTACCAACACTTCAGCTCTTTTTAACCTCGTAATACCTCGTCTAAGGACAATCCATCAATAGTTATATAGTCCAGATAGTAATAAGTATTGTATCAGGTGTACAACAGTGCTACTGATCGCAAAACAACCATGGTCGAGAAGCAACGTCTCCTGCACGAGCAGCTGTCTGCTATAGAAGAACAGCTGACCACCATCACGCGACAGATGAAGGACAAGATCAATCGTATGGTCGAGAGCGTCGAACATAAGGTATCGGCAATAGCAATGTATATATTTGTAGTAAATAACATCTGAAAATGTGTAATAGATATATTTTTTCAGAAGTCTCTCATTAATGTCACATACAGGCAGTATCACAAACGCGCATTTAAATTTTTATTACTTTAAAGCGACATTACCCATACAAATATGACATTTATTGGAGCTTAAAGATGTCATTAAACCTTAATGGACGTTTGTGCAACTAACCTATAGATACGTTTTTATTAGTGGCAAAATACTACCTTTTAGATTGTTGTTTTGCCATTTGATAATAAAGATATTTATGTTCATAGCTGGATTAATGTAAATACGTATGTTCTAAGTCGTAACCGCTTTTATAATATGAAACAAGTTTAAAACTATTTTTTGTTTAAACTTATAAAGAAATTTTAACATCTAACCAACGGTTATCTGTTGGCTTGAATAGTATGACGGTGACGGTGAGGTTCCTAAACTGGTGATAAAAAAGAATCTAATTTATACTAGTTTCCTTATTATTCAGCACCTAATATTTCTCAATTATTTTGTTTTGTTGTTATTGTTGTTACATAAATGAGATATTTTACTATTATTATACTTGTATATATTTATACTATATATTTTATAATATGTTACTTTTCAAAATTAACTTGCTATATAATCTGTGGATTACAAGAACCGAAAAGCGGGCGGCCATGACGGAGTATCGTGTGACTGAACGCCGTTTCTTTGTTGCGAGTGCAACCAGTACCGTTATTGAAATGTGACGTCACGGCTCGAAATGTCACGCAACTGATTGTTTTCGAAAACAACAAAATATATATGAAATGGTTATGGGTAATAATGGTTTATTAAAATACTTTTTCAAAATATTGAAGTAGCTATCTGTACATTCAGTTATCATATGAATCGCATATATGTCGCCCTGCTAAAACGAAGATAGTTAAATAGGGTCGTGCCGTAGTGAGTGATGTATTGTAGCAACGTGTCGATGTGTCAGGTGTCGCTGACGCTGAGCCAGGAGATCCGTCGGCTGTCGGCGCTGGTGGACGAGTACGACGCGCTGTTCCGGCCGGAGCGGGCGGCGCTGGAGCAGTACAAGCGCGCGCTGCACCGCCACGTGGAGGCGGGGCTCGGCTCCCGGCTCAAGAAGCGCCTCTCCAGCGACATCGGGCACGAGATGGACGAGGCGCAGAAGGAGATGGCCGGTATATACCACCCTTTATTCAAATTACCTTATTTAATGCACTTTTTAATCGTCCGACATTTTTTTCCATACCATTAGTTCGGGGCGTCTTTTAGCCGATAAGAAAAACACCAAGAACTCATCAACTTTAATATGTGTAACGATATTTACAGAACATGTGATTACCGTAAATGGCGCTATCTGTACTATATTATAAAAACCTGTCCAAAGGAGCATCGAAAATCATAGTTCGCAGATATTTTGCGTTAGTCTTCGAGAACCGTTTACCCTGATCACCATTTAATTATGATGTCGTATTGCCTCTGGCTCATTTTTATCGATAAAGGTAGACTCGATTGCACGTCGGGTTACCGCGATATTTCAAATTTCCGCAATTCATTTTATATTTTACAATCCACGTGGTAAGTTTTAACATAGAGTACCTGATTTGCTTTTAACATGTGAGTTTTTTCGACGTACCTTCCAATGAGACTTCTCTGTGTGAAATAAAACAGGGAGAAAACAGCTTGCCGGTTATTTTCAGAACAAAGTCTCCCACCGTAGATTTGCAAACCGATGGCGTAGTTTTCGACTTACACGAATGCTTGTAACAGTCTAGACCGAATAAATTATTTAAAATTTACCGATAGTGATACTACCGGAGACATAGAACTAATAACGCCTTCAGGCAGATGCATAAGTAAGGGCAGGCGTGAGATTGTAGTTGAGTGATGAATGGATGCGCGTGCGCACCGTTGCAAGTGCAGAGTTGTAGTTGAGTAAAGAATGGATGCGCGTGCGCATTGTTGCACATGCAGAGTTGTAGTTGAGTAATGAATGGATGCGCGTGCGCACCGTCGCATGTGCAGTTGTAGTTGAGTAATGAATGGATGCGCGTGCGCACCGTCGCATGTGCAGTTGTAGTTGAGTAATGAATGGATGCGCGTGCGCACCGTCGCATGTGCAGTTGTAGTTGAGTAATGAATGGATGCGCGTGCGCACCGTCGCATGTGCAGTTGTAGTTGAGTAATGAATGGATGCGCGTGCGCACCGTCGCATGTGCAGTTGTAGTTGAGTAATGAATGGATGCGCGTGCGCACCGTTGCATATGCAGAGTTGTAGTTGAGTAATGAATGTATGCGCGTGCAGAGCGCATGTACAGCATCCTGCCGTCGCACAAGCGCGGCGCGGCGGCGGCGGTGATCGTGCCGCACCAGCAGCCGTTCGAGGTGCTGTACCGGCTCAACTGCGACAACCTCTGCGCGGACTTCCACGAGGACCTCTCCTTCCGCTTCTCCTACGGCATCACCGCGCTCATCCAGCGGTTCCAGGGCAAGCACGCCAACCGGATAGCGCTCAAGAACCCGCCCACGTACGCGCAGGTGCGACACTTGTGGCTCTAACTTGATTTTAGCTCTCCGGTGACATCGATACTTTGTGTTTGCATTTCATTGGATGTAAGAGTTGTCGGTTGTAATTTACACCATCTGGGTACACACAAATTTCTGCTTTATTCGATAATTTATAGTCTGACGTTTGATATCCAACATTTGTCTATATAAATAGATGTAGTAGACATTTTCATTAACCAAAAATTATATTATCAAATCAAACACAATGCCATCTCTTCCGAAACTATTCATCTAACTTCATACTCATTTTTGAAACATCTTAGGAATCAATCTAAATATCCATAGACCTATCCATAATTATCAAGATACACATGGCATGCACAGGCACTCACACAAGCAACATCTAAAAAGTAGTAGAGTAGTATCCAAAGACTATAGAGTCCTTAAAAAATAAGCTTCTAATTGTAATATTACGCTAAAAAAAAACAATATCATTGGTTTGTAGAATTATCATTACGTTTGGAAATGTCTCATAGTACCACTATTCACATTTATTTCATTAGTTTCTTTTATTTTTGAATAGATTTCTCATTAAAGTAAAATATGTATTGATCAGATTCCGCCTACGATAAGTAACTCTCCGCTGCCGACGATGGAAGTGTCCCGGACCAGTAGTGCTATAGGTCCGCTGAGCGCGGAAGATTGGGGCATGATCTCGCGCTTCGCCCTCGGCACCCTCACCTCGCAGGGCACCATGGGCGGCCTGCTGCTCTCGGGACTGGTATGTACACTTGACGCCGTGTCTCACGAGACACGGTACGCGACTTGTAAAATTTGTCTATGGGTTGGCTGAATGTATAAAGACTAAAACCTAATATAAATTGAAATACATTCAGAGGAAAAAAATGATGTAATAGTCAATTGAATATTATCCAGCCGAAAAAAGAATGGCCGAAATCTGATTTATTGTTATTTTGCTCAAATGTAGCTAATATATATATATTTTGCTAATATATAGTCACCGCTTGTGTTGTTAGTGGGAAATAATTAAATAAAATAAAAAATGAAGGTAAATTGAGAAAAACGAAAGAAAGTATTAAAAATACCCACTTTTTCACGATATGTCAAAAGTAAAACATCATTATGAATAATGTATTTATAAAAAATACTTTTTAAATAGATAAATTGTGCGATAATATTGTAACGACTTAAGGTTCGGAATAAAAATTAACGCCATTTAAAATTAAACGCCGAAAATTAATATATATGAGAATACTATAAATAAAAATCACAAAATATCACAAGGGGGTGGGGGGGTGTATATATAACGTGTATTTATTTTTTAATATTCTAATATTTTTTTTTTTTTTAAATTCTATTTTTATATATTAAAAAATAAATACACGTTCGATTATAAAATCGAAAAGCGACACTAAAAATTAAGATTTTTTGTTGGTTTAAAAAAAAATACACGTGATTTGGTTGAAGGAGGGAGGAGGTAGTCTTAAACTTCACCTGTATCACCAAGGGGGAGGGGGTCAAAAATGTTGAAAAACCATCACGTGATCAATGGACGGCCCCTTAGAGAGAGGAGGACTTCATATCAAAAATATAATAAGTGGTCTAGCAATTACACCTTAGATAAAAATGTGCTGATGACCAGGGCTTGAAACCGGTTCAGAATAAACCGTTTTTATTTAGGTAAAACCTGTTCTCTTATAATGTTCCATTCCGAATCTGAACTTAATGCGGAGTGAAATTCGGATGGAATAAAAACCGGTTAATTCGCTTGGTACGTAAAAATCCGCGCTTTTAATGCGAATTATATCATTTTTAAGCGACGACATTTATCATATCTGTGTACGGTACATCCGTATAGATAGGAGTATAGGCACCTAAAAACCGCGCTGAAGTTAGTGAGATCATTGTCTGGATTCATATTTAAACCGGTTAATGAAAAAAACCGTATTTCTAGTGAACTGGTTTAAAAACCTGTTCAAAGGAGCTGAACCTTTTATGTAAAGTTCCGCATGTACTAACGTCGAACCGGTTCAAAAAATAAACCTGTTTCCAAGCTCTGATGACGAACTCGTGCGTTTATGTCAGCTGTTGAAGACAGTCGGTTGGCGCGTGGTGGCAGTGACGGCGGCGGTGTACGGCGCGCTGTACGCGTACGAGCGGCTCACGTGGACCGCCAAGGCGCAGGAGCGGCTCTTCAAGAAACAGTACGTCGCGCACGCCAGCAAGAAGCTGAGGCTCATCGTCGACCTCACATCCGCCAACTGCAGCCACCAAGTGCAACAGTCTGTATACCGTACCGTACATGTTTACATCGCTAACGGTTTTTGTTCTATTATCAAACAACTTTTTTGTTTCATAGATATACATTAATAATAATAATAATAATAATAATTCTTTATTGAGTAACTACATAGCGTAACAAATCAATTTGCCCTGTCTCCCAAATTAGGTTAGCATTCATATGACGGATAGCGTTTACGCGGGTATATAAAAGTAAAAAAAAAATCAAAGAAAGAAAGCTTCTTTATTTTGACGCTGTGACGTCATAGCGAGGCCATGCAAGAAGTGGCGTAAGAACAGCGCCATCTAGGAATTTGATTTATGATAAATAGTCATACCTTTACGACTAATCGGACAGCTGTCGCTAGAGTGACGTCATCCAATGACTCGTCGTGTTTCCAGTCACATGACACACGAAAAATCTCGACCGTTTATTACAATGTAAATTTTAGTTGTTATGCAGTTTTGTGAATTATTTTTCACTATCAAAACTACTCTATACGTGGCACGTGATCTTGCTTCTTTTATATCATGCGTAATTTTGTCTCGCACCACATTTCCAACTCCCTTAATCGCAAATAAACCTCATTATGTACCGAAAACTATGTTTAAAATTCAAATGATTAAAAAAACCTCGTAATGGCGATTCGGAGGACGTAAAATCATTAGTAGGGTAACAAAATTTCTTTATTGAATCTAGATAGTTTTACTACGCTGTGATTGGTGTTTCATTTGAATTCAGACAACAGTCGCAGACTAAAAATATTGGAAAATCATATTTAATAATTGACGAATAATCATTAAAGTTTATGAACTTTTTACCTGCTTACAATTTATTTACTTTATTCTGATCGCATTCCGATCCGCTATTTATTTATTTGGAAAAGGTACACCAACAGTATATATGTGATACATTAGAAATTATTATTATGTTAAATATCCTTATATATATATACACGTATTACCGGCATACACAACATTTACTATAAGAACAATAATGTGTTTACAACATTAATTAATGAAGAGTATATAAATACAAAAGTTTTTAATATTCATACATTTTAATCCACACTCTGAGAACTTAATAATTGGAGAACATTGCTTTAAAATTTAGGTAACGAGTTGTGGAAAAATATGGAGAAATAAAATAGTATTCACATTAAGAGAGTTATACTTCTCACAGCTAAAGGGGCCCACGTTTGTTCTGATTGTATAAAGGGTTTCAGGGAGCTGTCGACGATGTTCGCGCGGCTGTGCCGTCTGGTGGACGAGGCGACGACGGAGATGGACGGCGAGCTGTGCGAGGTGCGCGACAACATCAAGCTGCTGGAGGACGCGTCCGCCGCGGCCAAGCGGCTGCGCAACAAGGCCAACTACCTCGCGCACGAGCTCGAGCTGTTCGACGACTCGTTCCTCAAGCGCGACTAGCGGGCTAGCACCAGGTCAGTCGCGATGTTAGTTGGAAGACTTACAGCTGTACAATGCAATATAAAACTACTAGCTTCTGCCCGCGTTTGGGCAATGTCGCGAAGTCAGTTATACCTATGCCTGAATTCTAAGGGATGCCATTGCGACAAATACATACATACATTAGGACGTGCATTGTGAGATTAGATGCTTTACTTGTAACTCATTAACATCGTGGATTACACACAGCATATGCCTACCCAGGAGTCGCCTTCATGACGATAGATTCCTCCCTCAAGATAGATAGACATATTGTCGGTATAGCTCTTACTGGTCCTCCTGCCTTCCCCATAGACCACCTCGACCTCCAGATCTTCCACAATTACTCTTATCATCACGCATCTTTATGTATCTCTCAATGCATTTCCTCTTTACACAATTATACAATACATGTGCAACTCACCCATGCAGCAGTCGTTACTGTTCTCAGGCCCGAGGGATTCTTTACTTCAACATTCATTATGTCTCCTCATCATTGTAACACAACCACCCAAAAACTTGTACCCGTTAAAATATATATATTTTTTTAAATCTACTTTTACCCGGCAAATTTTATGTCAAAGTTATGATCATTTTACACAGTGCTACCAACATAAAATTAATAATATTTAGTTCGGAAATCGCATGTTTCGCGACAGGCAACGTATATTTTCCAAAAACGCTGTTGTTTTTTGAGCTGATGATGAAATGACTTTGATGTTTAAGTTCGAAGATATTGCAACAAAAAAAAAACAAGAAATGTCCAATATGTTTCAGCGTTTTATCTTTGAAACTTTAGATATATTAATCCAATTCAATGCAATTTGAAATACAGATGAAAACAAAAACAGTTCTGAAGTTTACAAAAGACTTAATCTAAAACGTAATCTATGCAAAATTCTTTGAAAGAAACGTTACCGCAGATTACTTTAGAATAAACGTCATCTACAACACAGCGCCATCTACTGTGTGTATTTATAACATAGATGTCAAACGATATTGAAGAATTTTATCTATGAATCAACGTACACTGCCATCTATGAAAACTTCATAAAACTAAACAGTAAATAAACACTTGCTTAAGAAACAATTAATTAGTACATTTTGTTCGTTTACATTCACGACATAAGCGAATAATTGAGATGATAACTATCCAATCCAGTAAGTTATACCAAAATACGGGTCCATGTGAAATTTGATTGAAATCCGAGTTTGCCTGCCTTGGTAGGTCATTGAATTTGTTAAGAGCTCGCCAGAGATATGTATACTGACCAACTTTTACTATGGGAACAACTTCATACTGTTGGCGATTGTGGTTATCACAATTTTGTTTGAAACAGCTGATTCGTTTTTCGTGAATTCGGTGTTGCTCTTATCTCACGAAGTTCTGGCATACAATAATATTACATATTATATATAGCACTAGCTTTGTCCCCGCGACTTCGCACGTGTAAATTATAGTCTATGGCAACCCCGTATGAACCCGTATCTACCGCTAGGTGAAAGAATTTATAAAATATTCCTATTTATAATATTAGTATATATAACTTATTTAATTTTTTGTTTTACATTAAACAAAATCTTTGTTAACCTCCCTTTCTTGAAGTCTCAAAGCTATATTGTTTAAAATTGTGTTTTTTTTGTTTTGATATGCATATAACCGTCTCATCCTAACTAATTGACCAAACGGATACTGTTAATTTTATTTATTAACAGAAGAAGTATTACCTGGTATTACTAAAACTTTCTGCACATGCGCAACACATGTAGTGAACGGTAAAAACATCATTCACATAGTAGTGAATATTGAGTGAAGTAACAGTGAGCATTGTAGGATTTTTTTAACCAATATTACATCATTGCTGTGTATTTAGATGTGAGAAGGAAGGGAACCATTACTTTCCAAAAGATAAAATGTTCGAATGTTACATTAATAGTCGTATAAATTTTCTAAAGAAAGAAATTCTCTTCAATGTTATTTATGTTGAAAACAATTTTCCTTTTAATGTAAATTATATATAATTGAAGAACGCGTAGTTTATAGATATTATTACATAATATGACAAATTTTGGTTTGTAGACTTTTATAAGACTTGCAGAATAAAACCTTTATACCGATTTTCATGTAATAATTCGAAATTATGTTATTGCAGTCACAAAAGCCGTGCGGCGTCTACCGTCATCGGTTCAGGCAGCGATAGCAACGTGTCCGGCGGTTAATAGATTGAAATGAATATCGGCAAGATTTTCATTTATTTGTTTAAATGTTGCGAAGCGGCCGCCATTAAATCAATATTACGTAAAGATTCACGAAAAGGTTATAACAAGCGTTGAAGGTAGAATATTTGGCAGCCGTGAAAGACCGTCAATACCGACGAACACAGCCAAGATGAAATGTCTGAAGTCGACCGCCGCTGACATGACGTTGATAGTACTTTTAGTCGAATGGCAGCGCATAGTTGATCCGCCGTCGTCGTGTACACAGACAGCATCGGCAGACTTTTCAGGCCCGACAGGAATTGGTTTATACAGTAAAACACAAGAAATATGCCTCCACGATGTGTGCCTACGCAGAAGGCCAATTTTCAAAGTGTGACAAATGTCGACCAATTATATTAATTCAATGATTCGTTATCGGACAATCACTTTGGTGTTACCGAAACATAAATGTGTTCTAAATTGCAGCTTATTGTTATTTAAAACAAGACTGATTTTAAGTGTTGATCACACGTTCGGTCATCGTCGAAATCAGTAGGTCTGTTCTGCGCAAACGAACATTCACGCGCCATATTCATTGGGTTTTACCGTACACAGCCTCGTTTACTATTACGGTCTCTATTTTTTATGTCAGGTTCCACTTTAAATTTATTATGTTCGATCTCTAAAATATTTTTACACAATTACGATTCTATAACACAGTTTGACTTCTAGTTCTCTATGAATATTAGAATAAAAATTGTCTTTAAACCTATATATATATAAATATATAATAGAACATTACAATATATTTAATGTACAGTCACTAGAGAGTAATATAATATTTGAAAACTATTAAAACACTTGTTTATATTTCAACTGGTAAGAGAAACAATGGACGGTCGCGTGCTTCTACCGTTGTCTATGGAAACTTGTCGATATCAATAGATTGCTGTCCAATTCCATCGCGATCTGCCAACATGACAATATCGGGTAACATACACCCTGAAGCCTCGATTGAAGGTAAACATTATTTACGTGTATTTGTAACAGCCGATGTAGTTCATAGTTTACCCCTGTTGTTGTTGCAAGTTATTTATTTCTTATTTAGCTACGATGAAGTCTTTTACTAAATAATTTACCTTTCCATGTTTCCATGGTTCAATAATTTTAGTTTAGAACGTTTACCTTCCCCCTTGAACAACTTGGTGCTACCGATGGGGTGTATAAATACTACATAAAATTAACGAACAAATATAAAAAAACACGTCCGTATTTCGTATACGGAATGTATAGAAATTGTTATTATAATCAAATAATACATTATAATAATAAAAAAAAATTATTCGTTGTACTCTCTTTCGTTATTCATCGGTTCAGTATTTGTATTAGTAGCTCGTTGTGTATTTAACAAATATTTAATGTATTCATTTTAGGGCCAATAATGTGCATTTTTACCAAGCTCGAGGTACTAAGTGTCGCGCAACATCTTTAGTTACCAGTCGCACTGTTGACGGAGTGCGGACTATCGCTATTGTTAAATGTTTTTTTTTTTTAAATCATGATAATATTTATATACAGCTGTGATAATTTAACGTTTACTCGAGAATTCATGTACACATAATTTTCAATGACATGTTTCTAACATCTATTGCACTCACACAGTCAACAGTGGTGTAGTTGAGCTAAGATTAATTTATATTTGTTGTATATTGTGTAAGGTGTGCGACTCTGCCGTTTTAGAGTTCATCTCTAGTTTTGTATTTCACAAGAGATTATATGTAACCTAGAGCTGTGAAATAAAAAAAAATATTACACATCTAACATAAACTATGTCTTCGGATATGTATTCCATAATTTACGGCTAAATTACTTACAAGCCACCAAATGCCGTAGCTTCTTACTTTACATAATATTATGTAACTAAAGTACCAATGAATTTCAGGGACGCCGGCGGCGTGTTTTGTATGTTTTATTAAAATATAATGGCATTGTAAATTACTTTTGAGTCATGTTGTTAATGAATTTGACATGTTAAAACTGGGAGCCGTGCATCCGTTTGATATTTGATAGATTTTGTTGTCTATTGTAATTAATTAGTTATCGCATAATTAGGAGAATTTTCTTATGTAAATAAAACAAATAAAGGATTCCTTTATAAACATTGTTTTATTACTGTTGAGTTGAGTAAGTAGTTAGGTAATATTCAATCATAAGCAATTTAAAGATATAATTAATGAGATCAAAACAGCACCTAAAATTAATATCAAAGAGGTAAAGCATATAGGCTAAAGCATATTTGAAAAGGATATATTTGAGCGATTTTGCGTTCACAATGCTATACTAAAAACATCTTTAGTGAAAAATCTCAGAGTACCTGGGGCTATCGAATTTTATTTTATACATAATAAGGAAGTTACTTTTTTATCATCATAACAATGGTCTGTCAAAAAACTTTCTGCATCAATAATAACATGAATTTGGTTAATTAAAAGAAAATGTTTAATATTAGTGACAGTTGTTGCTTCATATAAATTTATTGAAGGACCACTATTTTGAAGAAAAACAGTTAATATAATCAAAGTTCTCCTTTTAAATTTTCACTGTGGTAAGTAAAAATATCTTCAACACTCAAGTTCTTCTCATTAGGTATAGTCCTTTGCAGATGATGCTGAAAAAAAAGATTCTTTGACAATTATGTAATAAAAAATAAGTTCAAAATAACCCCTCAACTTGAACAAACTGAATATCAGTTTAGAAGTCAACATGCTTATAACTTATACAAATTAACATAATAATTTTGTTTAAATCATATACATAAAGATTAGCGTAGCTCGGTGAGAGTAGCTCGATGGTGTACTGGATAAGCGCCGCGGCCCGCGATCGTAGTCGTTAAACAACTTTCGCAAGGGTCGGTCACGGGATGGGTGACCAAAAAATTATTATCTCGAGCTACTCCGTGCTTCGGAAGGCACGTTAAGCCGTTGGTCCCGGCTGCATTTGCAGTCGTTAATACCCTCCAATCCGCATTTGGCCAGCGTGGAGGGTCATGGCCCATCCTCCTTAACCATCCATAAGGAAGGCCTGAGCCCCTGCAGCAGTGGGGACGTAAAAGGGCTGGTGATGGTGATGACATAAAGATTATCTGCGCATCAGAGGCATTGTAAGGTCCTACCTCAAATTATTGAAAAATGAGTTTCTATAGAGTTGTATATCGTGTTAATTCATATAAGTAGTATACACAAACAAAGTTAACAAAAGGTGTGCTGAATGCACTTAGTCATTTAGCAATCTACAACTTACTATAGGAGTTTCTTTTTTGAAGTTCGTTTTTACAAATTTGACTGCATTTTCTGCAGTTTCTAGCCCATAGTGTCGACAAACACTCAGTGCTTCATCCCTGCTACCAAAGCAAAGCCAGCTCTGTAACACATCACTGGGCACCATTAACAGCTTGCTGTTGTAGGCATGGCTCAATACTTGAAGAGCATGTCTATAAAAATAATTTTATTTTTGTTTCCCTAAAGTTTTAAATTGAATGCACATCACATAAATAGAGTGAAAACTTACTTTTGTATTTCTGGAAGATATAAATACATAGCATAATATGTTAGAGGGCACAGATTGTTAATATGTCTGCATATATTTATAAAGTCTCCTTTTATGTTTGCTATGGCTATTTTATAAGCCAGATTTAGTGTTTGATTTCTGGAAAATAAAAATGTGTGTATTAAACACACATAATTAAAACAAGAAAAAAGAATTTAAAAATATTACCTTTTCATATCTTTTGGTAGGTTCAAATATCTTAACAATGGATGGATATCATTCAAGTTGCACAATATATAAAGACTCTCCATTAATATTCTATCACAAGTTTTATCAATATCTAGACTGGATAAATTCATAATGAGGTCATCAATTTTGTCATCATTGCTTTGCATCATGCTATCACAGCAGCAGAGAAACCACTTTAAACATTCCAATAGGTATTTCTTATTAAGCACCGGGTCAAAGTCTTTGAATGGCAGATCATATAATCTGCAACATGTATAAGTTCTGAAGCTATTTACAGTAATACAGCTAGACTTGATAAATAAAGGAGGAATTAGAGAATATAATATCACCACCCCTCACAATAAATAAATATAAACTTACCTATATGCAAAGTATACATAGAATCTTATCATAGGTTCTAATAAAGAAGCACACTCTTTTGATGACAACCTTTGTATAGTCATATCTTGTCGGATTGCTCGCAGGCGATCATTAACAAAATCATAAAGCACAATGGTAGGCACATCTGTTCTTATTAATACTCTGAAAATGAACAATTAAATGTTTTCAGAGGACAGATTAAATAAGTTACATTTGAGCTTGTATTAATGTTAGATGACATTCACATGCAATGTGCAAAAGAAAGTTTTGTTTGCATTATTCATAATTTCAAGGCAATGTGATAAATTAGAAAGTTAAACCATAATTATTTATTTTGTCATAATGCACAGGCCATAATGTCCAGATTTATCACTTTGCCCATAACATATACACACTGAAACAGTTACATACAAATTACATTACGGGCATACCATATTATATACTGCACATACATTATATAGGAATTTGTAAATTATGTTATGTAACCATAACGGACAGGAGACCAAGCTTATGATAGTCTTAAGTAATAGGAATGATCCTTACTCAAACAGTAGATATCGTAAGGTCTCTTTTAAAGCTGAGTAAGGACGTAACAGACGTGGCACTGCCATATTCGAGTCTGCCGCCGATCTGCTATAACTTTTTACAAGTTGCCTTCTTGGACCAACACTTTCCAAAATATGAACCAAGTTTTCTTTAACTCGCCTGAAAATAATTTATTTTCAAAAACATTAGTGAATTCTGTTGTGTTTACAGTGGAACTTTTGGTATATACTCATATTTTTAAAACACGTACAGGTCAACTTCGTCTTGTGGACACATAGAATAACAAGTTCCAGTAATCATTTCTTTGGCTTCAGTATTATTGCTAATATTCTTACAAAAAAAATCAAAATATGACATTGTGGAGTTCTGTTGTAAAGATAAATATTTATTTAATTTCTGTATTTCACTTAATTTATGATAGCTACCGCCGGTTATATTATTAAAAGTAAAAAGAAAGTAAATTAAAAAACCCAACTCTTCTATTATTTTTTTTCTTTGCTCCAATGTTTACAAAACCGTACGCATGTTATTGTCATTTTTTGTGATTTTTTTCGTAACAGATAGACGGAGGAAGCTTAGCCCATACAGCCACTGTCTGTGTTGTAAGATATCAATGTCAAATTTTACAGTTTTTTGTTCAATAATTAGATTCGGTATACAAAGACGCCAAACATATGGCGATGAGAGTGATTTTTATTATGCTAATGTAACAATGATATTAGAGATCATTGTAAAAGATACAATAATCTGTAGCCTCGACCTCAGCGAGGTGTCAAAAAAGTATAAAACTTTAGATATTAAATCACTATAACAACTATTTAGAAGAAATAACTATAAAAAAAACTTTAAACTAACCTAGGTATAAGACTACTTATACGTATGTTAGTATATATGGGCATTTGTTGGAGTGTATCTGTCTGTATTGTTTCAAACACAATAGGGATGATCGATATTAGAAAAAATATCGATGTTGACATCGATATCGTCATCGAAAGCTCAACATCGATAAATAGTGAAAACTTGAAATTACTTACAAACAGAACAAATAATTACATATTCCAATATTTTTTATCAACTGACTGGAGGAAAAAATATTTTGATAAAAAAAAACCTTTTAATCGTCTTTTTTTCTAAAGAGTAGAGCCAGTTTTTTAAAACATGTATGTAAAATATGTATTTCATGATATATATGTATTACAAACATAACAGTATATAAAAATAGTTTTTTTCTTAATAGGGTATTTGACACTATTAAAAATAAGTTGCTTATTATGGTCATCTTGTTAGATAATAATCTAATAAAGTTTATTTCTAAAATCTGCAGATAAAATATTTTCAGCAGTTTAGTAAAATAACATAGAGAAAATTAGTATTTTTTACATCTGATAGTAGTCATTCGACATTAGTAAAAAAAATGCTTTCATTTCAATTTGAAAAAATGATCCTGTCAGGTTATTATTTAACTACCTTTCCAATATTTGTTCTGTCTTCTACGTCAACGCACGTAGAGTAACAAAGCAAGCAGTTACCGACGTTTCAAAAGCCTCATCGTACCTAAATGACGTGTAGCTTCAAGGAGAGCTGCCGTAAACTGCGCCGTTCCGATCAGGAAAAAAACGGACAAGTGCACAAGCCACTCATCCGGGTTTTCATGTCATTCCGGACCGTTAAAAATCGGATCACCGGACCTGAAAATTCAGTGTAGTGCACAAGCGCCCTACGTATAATTTTACAGGTATTTGAAATTTGCAAAAATTTCGAGCAAGGCACGGCGGAATTTCGCTTTGCGCGCTCACTTTAAAGTACAATATCTCAAATATTAAGTTACTTCGGCAAAATCGAAAGAAGTTTAGCAACTTTTGCATGATAAGATTTCGCAGTTTTATGATCCAAAAATGGGAATACAGAAAGGACCAAAATTTATCATCTTGGGCCCCCATCTATCACCCATGTTCAAAAAATCAAATGAAGCCTCTTAATGCCCGCACCGAGCATATCTCCGACAGACCGGTAATAAAGTAAGGTTTATTGGGGACAGATATTTATTGTAAATATATCACAATAACGACACAGCAAATTTAGGAGATATCATAACAATTTTAACTAAGATTGATAATAGCTTCTTTTAATTCTTTAAGTTCCTTAGCATGTATCCATTTTATGCCTGTCGCAGAAGCTGGACTTGGTGGTCTGCATATGCATCTGTAAAATATATAGGTTATTAAGGCAAATCGTATTATAATGCTTGATTAAACAATCAATTTTTTTTTTTGCGTCAATGCGACTTTCACTAATTGAAGGCAATCAATTATTGAAATTATTATAATTGTCGAAGATGTCAAAAAATATGCCAACTGACATAACGCCCCGGGAGCTTATTGTATGTAAAAGAAAAATAATTTTTAGAGTCAAACCATTTTCGTTAGTTTTCTCTGTATTGTCTGACGATATTGTTGTGGGATATTGTTGTGGGGTTCTGCGGCTAACATTCAGGATATTTTTATTCTACAAAAGAGAGCTGTCTGTGCTATATATAATTTACGGTCTAGGGAATCTCTCAGAGAAATATTTAAAGAAATAAACATTCTGACTGTTGCCTCTCAATACATCTATGAGAATATTATGTACACAAGAAAACATTACGATTCCTTCACAAAAAAAAGTAGTGTTCATAATCTTAACACAAGAAATAAAAATAAACTTGCCGTTCCAAGCTTCAGACTTCAAAAAACCAGAGGATCATTTCTGGGTAAATGTATTGCTATGTTCAATAAAGTTCCACAAAATGTAATTGACCTACCCATAAATAAATTTCAAATTCATGTAAAGAATATACTTATGAGTAAAGGCTATTATAAAGTTGATTTAAGGATCGCAATGCATGGAATTGATAGCCTTCGCTTTGTTCTATAAAGACTAATTATATGTTCAACCTATGTCCTACAGACTTTGAAAGTTGTATTTATTATTGTGATAATACACAATATTATTTTGGTAATGACATGATTTATGTAAATGTCATTACTTATGATAAAAAGCTGGTAAGTTTCTTTCGCTTGTTCTTCTTGTCAGCTAAAAGACGTCCTGAACAAGTGGTAGGGGAAAAAATTTTTTTTGGACGATTCAAAAGTGCTTGTAATAGCCTACTTGAATAAAGATATTTTCATTTCATTTCATTTCATAAGTTACAATGTTTTCCCATGCGCATTATTTACCTTAAAGTACTATTTAACATTATGACAAGTATCTCAAAATTTATACTCACCCTATTTTTTTCCCAAAGAGATTCTCTAATCTGTTTTTGCAAAACAGCCAGGGCCCTTGGTTCTTGTGCTCCTCCTGGCAGAAAAAGACCTTGGCCCCTTCGTATTTGCAGAACTCCCTCAACACAATATCATACGGGAACGGGTACACTTGTTCAATGCGGCACATTGCGATTTTGTCTTCCAACTTCTTCTCCTTGCGCAGTTCGTCAATTGTGATGGCGACTTTACCGACGCAGAAGATCAGTTTTTTCACCTGCTGAGGACACTTAGATGCCGGGCCGCTTTCCGGTATAGCTCTGAATATTAGATATAAATCAATATGAGGTAACATTATAGATAATTTACATAAATTATTTGATTTGAACATTAATGAAAATGAAAGTGAGCGTGGAAATACTTTCAGATATTTAAAAAAAAACGAATACGAATGCTCATGAAGAATTCCGTACCGAAAACGAGCAAAAAATCACGTTTGTTGTATAAGATCATGATATTCTATTGTTTAGTATCTGTTGTTATAGAGGCAAGAGAAATTCATCATCTGTGAAGATTTCAACTGTCTAACTATCACTGTTTATGAGATACATCCGCCTGGTGACGGACAAACAGACAGCGAAATCTTAGTAATATTTAAAAGTCTTAAAATTTTTTAGACGTTTCGAATCCTTTACCAGATTCAGTGTTCGCTAGACTGAGCGAACACTGAGTCTGGTCATACACGTGATAAAGCTTAACGTGCCCTCCGAAGTACCAAGGAGTTCGAAATAATTAATTTTGTGCCCTCCTTGTTGTTTATCTGATCCTTTCACATTCGGTACCTACACTGTAACGGGTTTAATCGGAAAGGTAGGCTTGCCACGATTTGACCTCACCACTCAGGGCAAGTCCTAGAGGTTGGTAAACCCCGATTTGAGATAATATTTTTTTTTCCTATACAGAACAAAAAGCAGACACCCATCCTATAATCGACCCCTGCGATAGTTTCTTAACTTCTGCATCGCAGACCAACTGAACCATTTCTTGAGTCGAGCATTACACACACACATTTAACATTTACTATGGAGTCATATCTCTGAAATAAGGATTATTATTATTAAGCTGTTTATTTTGGAGTCGAAGAGTTGCGCGCACCGCCGTCCTGGCGAAACCTTGGTTATGATGTAGGGCTCTCCAACCGCACAATTACTAAAATACGGCCTCACCAATCTCAGCTCCCTAGTAAAGTCCGAGTATTATTCGCTCTAGAAGATGTTTAGCTCACCTTTGAAATTCGGTACCGGGCAAAAAATCCTCGAACTTAGATCGATAGAAAGGATGCTTCAGGCCAACTTTAGGTGTCATCAGGATGAGTGGCTTACGGAACGGCATCGCTATCTGCCGTCTGATAAGATGGAAGTAGTTAGCTGGAGTAGTGACGTTAGCTACAATCCAGTTGGCGCCACGGAGCTGCTTCACTGTAATATAACTTTCTGCTATTAGAATCAAAGAAATATTTAAATTAGAGAGCTTATGTTTAAAAATCATGCGTAAGCTGTTACGGGTAAATATAACAAGGACAACGAAACAAGAGTATGCTAGTAATATCACTTAAATTGCATGCAAAATGGATAGGGAACTTTCTTACAGACTAATGCCTTGTCGTCCAGGTCTGGGATGGCATCTTCGTCATCGTCAGCTTGTTGCAAGTATCGTTCTATACGCCCGGAGGAGTGTTCCGGGCCCTAGGAAACAATGTTATGATCATACAACTTATCCATGGATTTGAAAATAGACCAAATTACTTGAACTATAAACTATTAATACGTATTAAACTACTGAAACAGTTCGATTAAATGCTTCGCATAGTGGGCATTTATTTTAATTTCATGAATAATCAAATATAATTTAAGAACGCTTAGAGCGCACAAGAAGCACATCACCTAGAAGAGCCATTATGATGTAGTTTTGTTAAATTGTGTGCTGTTAAGATAACACAAAAGAAAAATATTGGTTTTACACGTACGTTTTGCATTTTGTTTTGTACCTTGGCCAACATATGAAATGAAATGAAAATATCTTTATTCAAGTAGCTATTACAAGCACTTTTGAATCGTCCAAAAAATTTTTTTTCCCGTACCACTTGTTCAGGACGTCTTTTAGCTGACAAGAAGAACAAGCGAAAGAAATTTACCAGCTCTTTATCATAAGTAATGACATTTACATAAATCATGTCATTACCAAAATAATATGTATTATTATTACATAAAATTACATAAAATGAATGGGGTAAGTTATGAATAACTAAAGAATAATGGCCCTAATATTGAGCCTTGAGAGACAACGGTTCAATGTTCTTCTATATTGTTTGATCTAGACATAACTTTTAAAGCTATTATATACATATTTATATATATTTATTTATTGTTTTCTATTTTTCTTGAAGCTTCTTATAAGATTAAATGTTTGCTTCTAATGCTAAGTTTCATATCAGTCAAATCACGATCGAAAATTAAATATTAAATTTAAATAAGGCGTGTAGTTTCAAAAAAGTTGCTTTGACTTACAGCTCCGTCAATACCGTGTGGCAACTGTACCACGATACCAGACTGGCACACCCACTTGCTCTCGCCGTTCACTATGAAGGTATCGAACACAGGTTGAGCGGTATCAGCAAAGTCGCCGTACTGAGCCTCCCATATCGACAACAGATATGGGCTCGAGTTAGAATAGCCCACCTCATAGCCCAACACAGCTAGGGGTAGTACGAAGTTTGTTTATTTAATGGATCGATTAAAATTTTATGATGGAGTATTTAAAACTATGAAAATGTGATCATGAAGAGAATTTTTGTGTTAAATTTTTAAACTATGAAACCTAACCGAATTCGCACAGCGAACTGTTGTGCAGACTGTAGCGCGCCTGGTCCGGGTATAACTGATCCAGCACACGGTACGTGGCACCGTCTACCCCCTGGTGGTGCAGAACGTGGTGTCTGAAGCACAAAATAACTCACGGTCCATTAATCCGTCATATTTAATGATTAATAAACTAAATTTCAAGAGATAGCAAAAAGTACCCTCTAAATTAAACTGCAGTATCACCCGTATATTAAGCCATAGTACTTTATTCGCAGATTTTTATATTATCAAATTTTTTATTATAATAATAACTCAATAAAGTGGACAGGTGCCTGGATGACTGATTATGCAGGGGCATAGTTGGCTAACTAATACATGTTTCTAATTACCGCTTTCATTATTACGTCTTCAACCATTGGATCACTCATCATTCGGGCTTACCACATGACACAGTTTTCTGTGTATTCTATGATGGGGCTAGTTCATCATTCGGGCTTACCACATGACACAGTTTTCTGTGTATTCTGTGATGGGGCTAGTTAATCCATCGAATATATAAAACCGAAGGGAAGAAGAGCATTGCTTTTTAGTTTTTGAAGAAACTAATATAGATTGAAGATGAAAGAATTTCGAGTTTTATATTTTTCTAGTCCATTTAATAATGATACATCAAAAACAGTCGGGATACCTGTGAGCCATAGTGCCTCTTTCCACGTCTTCTCCCGTGAATCGAATGTGGATTCGATCGCGAAGTAACGAGCCGTATGCTAGGGCCTCTCCCATTGCCCAATCAGCTATACCTTCTTTAACCTAACAAAGACGTATATTTTTGTTGTTGTTCTCTTTAAATACATTCGGTCTGTATTTTTTATAATAAACCACTTATTAAATTATTCATAGTACCATTTTTGCTCGCGCTGCTAAGATCCTATTTATGCCCTTGTGAACCTCAAACGCCCACGGCTCAGGCGCCTTGCAGAAATGATTTGAGATCGTATTTATCGTAGCGTTGCTTATGCCAGTGTCCTGAATCTGCATCCGAAATATTCATTTGTCATTTTAATTCAGCACCATTCAGAGTGAAACAAGCTGATAATTATAATCTTAAAACATAATTTTATTAGACAGAAGTCTAGGTTCAATATCAGACGTATTTAATTTCACCTTTTTGGGGTCTACGGCCTCAAAGAATCCTGTCCATGGGGTGTCAATCCAATCCATGATGCTCAGTTTGGTGACCTTTTTCGCGAGTTCAAAGTGTAGGTTCAATGTGTCCATATACTCCTTCTCCCAGTGCTTAATATCAGCATCATTCACCACACCTTCGCTCTTCAATTTTGCGGCGTATTTTTTATCCACTATGAATAAAATTACCATAAAAAATTGCTTATTTCTTTTAAATCATGGTGAATAAAGCTTTAAAAGGTACTGAGGTAATACAAATCGTGCTTTACCTGTTTCCATTTGCCTGATTTTCTTGTACATGAAGGGTTGCGTGAACATTGGTTCGTCTTCCTCGCTGTGTCCAAAGCGACGGTAGCAGACGAAATCGAGGACCACATCCTTCTTGAACTTGCAACGAAACTCTATAGCGACACGCGCTACGTGCGCTACGGCCTCGGCGTCGTCTGCGTTCACGTGAAGCACGGGTGCGTCTACGCACTTGGCACAATCTACATACACACAATTATACAGTTCAAGAGAGTGTAGCAAATATGCGTGGAGCTCGATGGCGCACAGTTCAAGATGGCCGGTCATAGGATGGGTAACCAAACAATTATTATCAAGCTCCCAACCCACTATAACGCTCATTATAAAACTTATCACGTTCGTTCTATACAATATTACGAATATTTAGAAAAAATAAAACGTAAAAATAATCGACATGGTCTAACTTTATTAAAATCAATGTAAAATTTTTAACAATTTTTTAACAAAAAATTAATGTCCATAAATGCTAAAATAAAGCTCATTCAATGAAGTACGGTAGTTATATTAATTTTATCAAGAATTTTATGACTTGGTAATCGGCTTTGAAGGACTGCATGCCCACCGGTTAATCAAAATTTCAAAGCCCCCTAAGTCTAACGAGCCATTGTATTATCTATAGGTAATGTTCTAGATACGTGTACTAAAAATATTTGTACACGCATCTGGGCAATTCTTTGAAAATGCGCATATTGCCTCACGTTAGGAGATTGTATAAAAGTTGTGACAAAATGCATTCTTTAAGCGCATTATACATTGCTGCAAACATACCCTTAAAGAAATTATACAAGGGAATAATTTAAATCTTTTAATTTTTAACTGACAACCATTTAATTTTTTGAGTGAATGGTAATGATATTTACAGTAAATGGTAATTAGATAATGGTGAAGGTAATGAGAAATGGTAATTATAAATCAAATATCAAGAAGACAAAAGTATAAACTTTTATTTAAAAATACAGCAGCACAGTTTTAATCAAAACTAAGAAAATTACTCTTAATCTACTATTCTCGGGGGAGCCTTTCGCCCTAGAGAACGCGACCCCAGGTGGCGGATAGGGGGATGCCCAAAAGATGAGCGCTCCTACATTAGGTGCCCACATCTAACGGGTAGGAAGTAAATAAAATACCTCCCGCGGACCAAATAGGCCGGAGAGATAAACTCCGTCAAAAAATCATCCCATGGAGCGTCTTCGACATCTTGAAGCAGCGATCCCTGGGAACGGTATTGTCAGAGCAGGACGATGCTTAGAAGGGCGGCAGCAGAGGAACTGTCAACAGAAGTCAATGGTGGCGCCCATAACCATAATATACTAATATGGCCACTGCTCGTACACCAACCCGCATGGCAAGCGTGGTGGTACTTATTGCCAAATACCCCTCAACATGAATATGAATAGGAAAAGACAACACGATCCCCGAGTTCCCGGCAGCCCGGGAATCCCCTGCTATGGCAACAGTAGGAATAGGAACTGGGCCAGGGGTGATAATCTCCGGGAGGATTACGGTTGCCAAAAAAGACCAGGCTTGAAATAGGAACATATAATGTTAGAACTTTATCTACAGAGGATCGGTTACTGGAGCTTGAAGAAGAGCTAAAAAAGATCAAATGGGATGTGGTCGGCCTCAGCGAAGTAAAGAGAAAAGGAGAAGAGTTACTTACATTGAAATCTGGAAACACTCTATATTATATCGGAGAGGAAGCGGGATTTACGCATGGAGTGGGATTCATTGTAAATAAAAGGATTGCATCTAGAGTCATTACATATAAAAGAATCTCCGAAAGAGTAGCATTTTTAATTATCCGCATAACTAAACGATATACTATTAAAATTATCCAGACATATGCACCAACGTCTAAGGCGGACGACTCTGAAGTAGAGGAAATGTACGACGATATTGTGAGGGCAATGAGTGATGGTTATAGCTACTATATAATGGTTATCGGTGACTTTAATGCTAAGATTGGAATATGTGGAAACAAGATCGAAGAGCCATGGATTGGACCTTTTGGGCTGGGTAGTCGGAATGCTAGGGGTGACATGATGGTTAACTTTTTGCAAGCCAACAAACTATATGCAATGAATTCATTTTTCTATAAGAAACCACAAAGACGATGGACGTGGATAAGTCCAGGAGGAAATACGAAGAATGAAATCGACTATATTCTTAGCAGCGAGAAGTACATTGTGGAAGACGTAACTGTATTAAACAAATGTAATACAGGTAGCGACCATCGTCTGCTGAGAGCACGAGTCACACTTCCTATTAAAATGGAGAGAATGAAGCTGACAAGAACAAGAGCTTCCATTAAATGCGATCCTGGTGGTTTGATGGCCTGCAAAGATGAATATCGGAGGCAGTTTGCGAGTTTCCTAAATGCAGAGCCAGACCTAATTGATAAAAGCGTTGACGGAGTGTTGCAGAGTCTGGGAAATGCTATAACGTAGACAGCAGAGAAAGTACTAGGGAAACCTAAGCGACCTTCCAAAATTACAAAGGCAACTTTAAACTAAATAGCAGAAAGGCGAAAATTGCGAAGTATGAATAACAGCGATTACAAAAGACATGCGAAAATAACGCGGAATAATATCAGAAAAGACGTATAAAATTTCAACCAATGGTTTGTTCAAAAAGCAATTGAGAAAAATAAGGGATTGGCTTTATGTAATTCAAATAAATTGGAGGGTAGAAATGAGATAAATCAACTTAGAGACGACAAAGGAAACTTAATCACTGATAGAGAAGGAATACGAAAAATTGTTGAAACTTACTACAGTGATCTATACTCGTCTAAATCTCAAGAGTCAACCATACCCAATGAAAGACGTGAAAAACTAACTAGGCGATATACTGAAGACCTGCCCGAAATAAGTGTCTATGAAATCAAAGCTGCAATGAAGACCATGAAAAATAATAAGGCACCAGGTGATGACAATGTACCGATTGAGCTTTGGAAAGCTGCGGGGACGTGAATGCCTAACCAGTTAAAGTCACTTTTTAATCAATGCCTTTTTAATGGAAAATCACCAAAATTATGGAAAAACCCGATTGTCCGGATACTATATAAAAAGGGTCCCAAAACAGACATATGTAACTATAGACCAATATCCCTTTTAAAGCACAGCTACAAATTGTTTATGAAAGTCATTACAAACAGACTTAAATAATCGCTTGGATGCGTTTCAGCCAGTGGAACAAGCTGGATTCCGTAGTGGATTTAGTACCTTAGATCATATACATACAGTTAGACAGCTAGTTCAGAAGTCAAGAGATAATCAACTACCTCTTTTTATGGCATTTATAGACTTTGAGAAGGCTTTTGATACGGTCGAGATTTGGGCACTATTGCAATCTCTTATAAGATGCCATATTGACTGTCGCTATATCGATCTTATTAAAAACATATATAAGCACGCAACCATGGTAGTTGAAGTAGCAGGAGGAAGAACAGAGCCTATAAGGTTGGAGAGAGGTATCAGAGAGGGCGACACCATATCACCAAAGCTGTTTACAAACTTATTAGAGGACACCTTCAAGACACTGGAATGGAGTAGATTTGGCGTAAGAATTGACGGCGAACATCTCACCCATCTACGTTTCGCGGATGATATTGACAAATAAAACGGTATTCTAAATTATTAATTATGAACACTATAGTTAATTAACAATTAACAAAAACGTTCATAATTTACTAAAAACACCGTTCTTTTTCGATCACAAAAATAATATTATAATTACCATCCTAAAATTTACTCATTACCATTTACTTTAGAGTAATAGGAAAATACGGTAATTATGCAAATGGTAATTAGGATTTCAAACATTTTATTGGTTAAAGAGTTCTTTATAAGAATTATGAAATTTTTACCTACTTTACCTAAAATTTGATCTTATAACAACTTAAATAAACGTATTAGTTAAAAAAAATAATCATCTACTTACCCTAAGAATGGAAAATGGTGATTAGACAATATTTCGACAAAAACACTACAACGGCGAGAGATCTGAATGTGGCGCCAAAAATTCTGGTCTTTAATGCGTGTGCTATGCTCGGGCGCCGCAGACTGGTACAAACTTGTTAAAGCAGTTAAAGGTATCAATTCTCAAATTTGTAGGTAGTAAATGAGGGCGAATATTTTTTGAACGGTAATTATAAAGTTATCCGAGGACACATTTTAAGAGCATTGATTCTTAATAATTTATGTTCTTTATGTAAAATAACTCGTGTAGAGGATTGAGAAAACTATCCCTATTTAAGAATATTGAACTATAATTACTATTTTTATAAGGGCTTTAGCTATATTGAATAAAAACTGAATGAAAATGTAAAATGGGACATGAATGGTAATTGGACCCTGTTAAGCAGAAAGGTTTCAACTGACATAAACGTCATTTTGAGATATTAGGCATCAAAGATTTTGTAACCGCCCAATTTTTATTTTGGTATAACTTCGTATATAAATAAACGTTTGAATTGAGATTTTGCATATAACTAGAAGGCTAATCTATTTTTATATAAATGATGATAATTTTCTGCTATAATATCCCATTTTACTAGAAAATAATAAAATACGTTCAACACCTTTCTGCATATACTCGCTATGATTAATAACTTGCATCTAAACAGCATCAAGTGTACTTGAAATCTTTTAACAAATTTAATTATGAAATAAACAATGAGTATATAAAGGATAAAAAAAACGAAAATATTATTATTTAAGTTCCATTTATTTAGATATTAATCAGTCTTGAGATTACAAAGTAGGTACTAAGTATTGTTTTACTCAGGCACTAATATTTATTGTAAACATAATCATGTCTTATAAATATTAGATATTTAGACTTTATTTTTAAATTATCTTACTAAGATTTTTTTAATAGTCTTATCTGACAATAGTAACAAATTTAGTCTTTTATTCTCAATAATAATGATTTTCTTTTAAAGTAATTAGGTAGGTAACTTATAATTAGGTAATATTTACCTAGTCTTTTTTATCAGACAAATACTTATTATTCTTCGGTTTCATTTTCAAATTGCAACACATCAAAGTCTATAATTTCTCCAAAACCATCGACATCGTCGTCAAACTCTGAACTCCTTGTAACTTTTAAGAAACCGTAAAATTTCTTTGCATCGTTTGGAATAAGGCTTAACATATCTTTGAGATCCTTTATTTTAGCGACAGACAAAGTTCTACCTCTGGGATATAATGGTGGTAGCTCAATATCTTTAAATGAAACCTGTCTCCGCCTACCTATTTTGGCTATATCAACTGTTTGAACCTCTTCAGATGTTACATCAGATTTGAAATATAATTTGTTAGGTTCACATTTCTTCATTTCGATCTGAAATGTTTTTTGCCAGTATACTTTTTCCTTGTTGATATCCTTTTTCCTGTTCGTAATAGCTTGTAATAATGGTTCTACAGATTGAAAATCTTCGCTACAAAATTTATTAATTACAAATTTATTCTTACGCCGACAACTTTTCATCACATTAATGTAGTCATCAACGGTATATAGACGATTATGTGTCTTTAACGCGCATTCTAAGTCTCCAAACTCTGAATCATTCGGTAGAAATGTGTGTCCTGGTTGAAGGAATCTCATTGTTATTTTTTCTAACTTGTCATGGTTCAAAAGCAGATGTAAAAGCATTAAAACTAATTTAATACTTTTATTTTGCCCACCGCATGAGTCAGCCCATAAAATTAATTCTTTAGTAGTATTTCTTAAATTGTTTAATATAAATTTTTTGAGACAGCATCCAACTTCTTGGGTTCCTCTTCCCCCCTCATGTTCCAACCAAATATTAAAATAGCCTTGATTATTACTCGCCTGGTGAATTCCAAAGTTGTAGAGATTCAATTGTCTTTTATAATAAATAATATTCGTTGGTAGTCTAGGTAAACAATTGGTTTTTTCGAGATCAAACGTAAGAGTTTCAATTGTGTTGTCTATAGTGGCAACTTTCATGTCCTTTTTCATTTGTTGTCTAAGAGATTTCGCTTTATCTAAGTGGACTCGATGCTCATTTTCCACTTTTTCCAATTCTGGACCAGTCAAATTTTTCTTCTGAACATTAAAAATATCACATTTATTGCAGGTATCTTTCTGAGGTTTCTTAAACCTTAAATTAAACTTTTTGTAAAATATATTTTTAAACGTTGATTTACTTACACCTTCTGGGTATTTTTCTTTGTACAACTCATATATAAAATTAAGATTTAAATTTGGAGCCAAATATTTCGAATTAGTTTTTTCGCGGCAGTAATGAGATTTGTATTTCGGTAAACTCTTTATAAAATTGATCACTTCCTGACTTTTAGCCTCTGTGATTTTATTATGACCACCAGTGCATCCTCTCTTATCCAACAGCGGCTTCTGTTGTCTATGCTTAGCTAGAGCAATGTCTAAGGGTTTTTGGCTTATGGATAATGTCTTTAAAAAAGCTGCCTTACAAACTGAGACTCCTTTGAGATAATATTTTCTAGTAAATGTCCTTTTATTTGATTTATTTCGAGATTTTTCTAATTCTTTGCAAAAACTTTGTAACAATGCACAACGTGCTTCATAACTACCAGCTGCCCAATAATTCTCAAATACTGTCTTTCTTTCAATCTCTGTAACTTTTTCTGTACATTTTTTCTTACAACTACAGTTATAACCATTAACGAAACTCTTTGACGGCACTGTTAATCCTTTGTAATTTATGTATTCTTTACCGTGGTTTAGTTTTGCTCTCTTTTCTTTTCTATTTTGTTGTGGATACTTCCTTTTTCTACCTCTTCTTGGTCGTCCTTCCTTATTATTGATTTGTCCGGGCTCTAAAATTGTATTTTCACTAGAAGAGGGAACTGGTAAGTAATCTTGGTCAATTGTAACATTCATAACAGATAAGTTGCTTTTCGTGGTATTATCGGTGCAAATAGTTTCGTTATTATTTTCAGTATTTTTATAAACTGTTTTCTTTTCGGAGATTTCAACCATGTGGCCTTCTACTAGTTCTATTTCTATATTTGAAATATTGGACGAAGTTGAATCGTGTAGATAGATACTTACCTAACCGTAACGGAAAATGTTAGTCGTTTAAAGGTGTCAAATGACACAAATACTAGAAGTAGAGCATAAACGTATACCCGATTTAGAAATATGCATAAAGATTTTAAGGATCTGTTAAAATACTTCTGCAAAACATAACATTTTAGGTAAAGTTATCGGCATTAAGGTGTCAAAATACACTTGATACCTTTTGACGAAACAAATATAGGTGATAAATTATTTCGCCAAGTGGGGTCAAGTAACGTGAGTTCTTTTTGCAAATCTCGAAATGAGCCTCATTGAGTTTTGCATAACCTTATTTATTTAAATATCTCAGAGCACATTATTTTTCCATAGTTAGAACCTAAAGAGTCCGATAGATATTTTCAATACGAATCCAACGGTACCAATAACTCAATTTTCGATTTTATGTCACTTGAAACCATTTTACAGAACAGGGTCCAATTAGAATTTGGATGTTTGGAAACAAATTTCTCCGAATTCAATAAATAAATCTGGATTATAGTAATTCAGTTTAGATCCGTAATACTTTTGTTCATAAGATAATATTATCAAACGGAAAATATTTGCAATGTGAAAGATTCTTTATCATACGCCGCGTAATATGCACATTCTTGAAGAAATACCCATCTAGAACATGTACCTAAAAGTTAAACATATTGAAATAATACTAAAATCGGAAATATCGAATGTCCCATTTGTATGTGAATTCCGTAAGCATTAGTGACTATGAAAGTGAACTTCAATGAGTTATTCCATGTAAATTAAAAAATATATACGTAACAACTGATTAGGGATTATTGATTTATTAGAAATAAGTTACAGAAATGATGAAGAAATGAGCTCTGTGAGCAACTTATTTATAGATATTCGGTTATCCTCAGAAGTTGCCAGAGTTACAGAATAAGGGAGATGAGCGGATGTTTATTCTGCCTCCATGCAGTTTCTGCTGCACAAACAGCTGTCTGTGCTACCTAGACGTGAAAGGTATCTGTTAAATTACTATGACCATTGATAGGAATTTTAACAGACGAGTCGGGATGGAGGTTATAGATCCGAATCTTCATGTACCAGCCTAATTAAAAAGTGAATCTATTAAATAGTGATTCAATTCCGAGTTTTGTCATACACCACTACTGCACGCTTACAGCCCTGTGAGATGGTGCAGAATTATGTACCCATCACTAAAATGCTCCTGACTCCAAGAAGAATCAGTTCTTCTTGGAGTACTCTGCAAAATATTCCTTCGGTACAGATCGTCCTTCCTTTTCACGTCGTATCACCGAAAACTACAGGAGTTTTGCCTGTTGAACTCCGAATATTATTTATTCCAGGTTTTGGCAAAATCTATGTTTGGGGCGGCTATGTTTTATTTTATCTGTAAAGACGACAACGACATATTTTTACAAGCATTGCCAACCAGTATGGCTAAACTTTATTAACCATAGTATATTTTTTTCTTTTTTAAGCAGCTGTTGCGCTTTTCTGGCTTGTATGCTATCGACTTGAGCCAGAGCTTGCATCAACTAACTGGCTCATAAGAAGATTCATATATTTTTTGAAAGCGTTTTTATTTCAGTTGTGGTTATTTAGAATCAAATTTTTTTTTTTTATTAACAAGAGTTTCTGCTTGAAATACCGGTTAGTTTCGCTCACAGATTCTAGCCATTCCGCCCATGTGTCGCTTTCTCTGTCTTATCTGTATGGCTTCGCACTATTATGCCGCTTTTTGCTAATGAAAAGAAAACGCTAGTTGATAGAACATCTGATCTCAAAGAGACGGCGTACGAAGCTCCACCCCCATTTTTGGTTGGAACTAAGTAGATTAGTCCCAGTGGTTTTCAGAGCGAGCGTTTTACAAAAAACCTAGTTAATCTGTATTAACCAGTATTTTTTGAACGATTCCCAACTCTTAACTTAATACTTAAGCTATAGTTTATGTGTTTGGAGTTAATTTATGACTAGTTGTTGTAAAATCAAAAAACTTACACCATATCTTATCATGGTCTTTAAAAAATATCCAAACCCATCATAACGTTTAATAGACAACTTGAACTATCCAGCACTACCAGTTATCAGCCTTATCAGTGTAATGAAATTATTGCCATTTGTAGCACTGGCATAATTAACTTTTAATGTGTTCCTTAAACGAGAAACACTAAACTCACGATCAACTTTTTACCTACTTGTTTACGAGTATAAAACAAAGGCAACATAACATGTTATGAAATTATTATATTTTCACAATTGCTATGTACTAGACGTGTGCGCCGCGCCGCGCCGATGACCGACGCCGCCGATCATGACACGCCGCCGCTGACCGGTTCGAAAGATCGGCGTAAACGGCGTGGGATGGCACGAACTGCGAGTAACATTTGTTCGCTCGGTTGCTAAGCAACGTATTGCATACTCTGCGGCAAGTGTTAATTCCGTTCCGTATTTCCATATTTAGTAAAATTTTAATGAATACAAAAGTAAAGACAATAATCAGATGCAAACAAATAAAGAAACGAATCTTTCTTCTTTAATTACAGCTGCCAACAATGAAATCTTGTACAATTAATATAGCACTCGTTTACAAGATGGTGTTAGCAGAAATCATAAATTCAATACTTACCCTTATTTGTCTACTCTAGCTAACCCACTACAAGCACACCTAGCGAACGTGTATTCTTTGTAGCTGGTCTTACTAAAACGGTTTAACGATTGCGTCTAACTGGGAATAATATCAATTAAATAATATCTATACATGATAACTATTAGGTTGGGGAAAGTCTTTTTGAATGTAGTATGCATAAAGTTGTAATAAAATCTTTCTGGCTATACCATTTCTATGTGGCTGGTTGTGGTATCATTAAAAAGTTTAAATTTTAAAGAAGATTTCGAATTCGAATTAGGAAAATCTGTGTTTTTCATTCGTTTTTCTAACTGGTGATAAAAACTGGATCACGTATGACAAGATCCTGCGAAAAAAATCGTGGTCAAAAGTCGGTCAGGCTTTACAGACTGTGGCGAAACCCGGGTTAAAAGGCAAAAAGGCGATGTTGTTTGTATGGGGGGATTGGAAGGGTATTATTCATTATGAGCTCTTACCGTCAAGCAGCATCATCGATTCTGAACTCTACTGCGAATTACTGATGAAATTAAAGCAAGAAGTTGAGAGAAAGCAGCCAGAATTAATCAATAGAAAGGGAGTGGTTTTTCATTAAATTAAGAGTTTGGCTGGAAGGTGTTAATTCATCTGCCCTGTAGTCCTGACCTTGCACCTTCAGATTTCCTGTTTAGGTCTCTTCAGAATTCTTTAGGCAGTGTCAGGTTAACATCACTCGTCTATTGTCACAACCACTTTCTCTTGGTTTCTTGATTAGAAGCCCCAAAGTTTCTATAGCAATGGGATCATGTCCCTACCTACAAGATGACAAAAAGTGATCGAACAAAATAGTACCTATATATTGTTGTTGATGCCTGTACGAGATTAGAATGGCACTCAAACAGCTCAAGAACAACAAGGCACCGGGGGATGACGGAATCACTACTGAACTTTTGCGAGCGGTACTCTTAGTCCTCCAGAAATTGTTCAATTCCGTCATTCTCGAGGGTACGACGCCAGAAGCGTGGCACAGAAGCGTGGTTGTGCTCTTTTTCAAAAAAGGTGTCAAGACCTTGTTGAAGAATTATAGACCAATTTCGCTTCTGAGCCACATTTATAAGCTGTTTTCGAGGGTCATTATGAATCGTCTCGAACGCCGGTTTGAAGACTTCCAGCCTCCCGAACAAGCCGGTTTCCGAAAAGGTTTTAGCACCATAGACCACATACATACGCTGCGGCAGATTATACAGAAGACCGAGGAGTATAATCTGCCACTTTGCTTAGCGTTTATGGACTATGAGATAGCCTTCGATTCAATCGAAACCTGGGAAGTACTGCAGTCCCTCCAGCGATGCTAAATCGACTACAGGTACGTCGAAGTGTTGAAGCGTTTGTATAGCAACGCCACAATGACGATTCGCTACCAGGAAGAGAGCACGAAACCAATCCAATTGCGCAGAGGCGTGAGGCAGGGAGATGTCATTTCTCCGAAACTGTTCACAAATGCATTGGAGGACGTCTTCAAGCTCTTGGAATGGGACGAATACGGCATCAACATTAATGGCGAATACATCACTCACCTTCGTTTCGCCGATGTTATAGTCATCTTGGCAAGATCGATGGAGCACATCAGTACAATGCTCAGCGACCTGAGTATCGTTTCCAAACAGGTGGATCTTAAAATGAATATGAACAAGACGAAAATCATGTCGAATGTACATGTTGCACCCGTCCCGGTGGTCATTGGAACTGATACTCTCGAAGTTGTCGATCACTACGTGTACCTTGGACAGACAATCCAGTTAGGTAGATCCAATTTCGACAAAGAGGTCGCTCGAAGAATCCAACTCGGCTGGGCAGCGTTCGGGAAGCTACGCGATATCTTCACGTCCAAATTACCACAGTGCCTAAAGACGAAGGTGTATAACCAGTGTGAGTTGCCAGTGATGACCTATGGCACTGAAACGTGGTCCTTAACTGCTGGCCTCTTAGAGAAGCTCGGAGTCGCTCAGCGAGGCATGGAGAGAGCTATGTTAGGGGTTTCTTTGCGCGATAGGATCCAAAACGTGGATATTCGCCAAAGAACTAGAGTGACCGACATAGCTCGCAAAGTTTGTAAGCTGAAGTGGCAGTGGGCAGGCCACATCTCTCGATGAACCGATAACCGATGGGGATGAAAGGTTCTCGAGTGAAGACCACGAACCGGAAGACGCAGCGTGGGTCGACCCCCGACTAGATGGACGGACGACATCGTCCGAGTCGCGGGCGGCCGCTGGATTCAGCTGGCGCAATGTCGTCCGTCGTGGCGTTCAAAGGGGGAGGCCTATGTTCAGCAGTGGACGTCTTCCAGCTGATGATGATATTGTGGTTTAATATCATTATAACTACGTTACATAATTTAGAAGAGTATAGTTGTGCCCTATTTGATTGTTACTAAAAAGAAGTTATTAGTTTTAGTAGCTTTTATATTTGATATGTCAATAAAGGCATTCTGAAATGGTTAACTTTTAATTTTCCATCATTTGACATAACGACGCCGTTTACGCCGCCATTTACGCTGCCGCCACTGAATATTTAGCTCCACACCGCCGCCGAAGATTTTGGCATCGGCGCACATGCCTACTATGTACCTGGGGCTATAGTTTTTTTAAAGTATTTTTCATTAGGAGTGTAATATTACGTTTTTAATTTTGTCAACGTTAGTTTAGAGTCGTAATATTGATAATAATATAATAAGTAAACCAGGTAATTGAAGTCATAAAAAAGACGAATGAATGAATAAAAAATATTTCTGTGAAATGTCGAAAGACTGACTAAACTATTTATTTGTTTTTTACAAGTCATTTAGTAAAGACATCGAAAATTCGGATAATTTAGCGACCCGACCAGGAGCAAATCGGGAAGGATCTTTAGACCCCTGAAAATCGAGACACCTGGCAACACTTGTCATGGCCCATTCTCCCTTTTCGATCTGATGCGACTCCATCTATAGGGAAAGCCTGAGCTCCAGCAGTGGGGACATAATGGGCAGGTGATGATGATGATGTATATATTCAAAGAAATGAAAAATCTAGCTTTCGTCACCTGAACAGTAGGGAGAGCTTCTGGCAAAGCGTGGGTCTGTGGTGTATCCGATCTGGTTATTGCATACGATGTGGATGGAGCCATATGTGTCAAAGTCGGGCAGGTTACTCAGGTGCATCGTCTCGAATACCACACCCTGGCCAGTGAACGCGGCGTCGCCGTGCATAATGATCGCCATTACCTTAAAATAATATAATTGTAAAGTATCAATGTGTGTGTGTGTGTGTGTGTGTGTGTGTGTGTGTGTGTGTGTGTGTGTGTGTGTGTGTGCGTGTGTGTGCGTGCATAAAGTTGAAGTAACTACCTATAACACGTTAGTAGACCTCGTACTGGAGGTCCGAGGGAGTCCGGGCGCGATGATGGTGGCAAACGCGACGCGGACGGCGACGCGGAGAAATCAATTGGTTCTCGACGTCAGCGATCAAATCACTCATTTAAATTTATAAAGGAGAATGGGCAAAAGTCGGCTAAAATTACGTAAAATTGCGCACTACGCATTTATTTATTAATAATCTTCTCTTTAATTATAATTTATTCTATATAAATACTATTTTAAAATTATGCGGCATTTAACATTAACTCTATTAAAACAAATGCTAAATATCTACTACAATATAACTACGACTACCTACTAAGTTTCAAGTTATGAATGTTACAAAACAAAGTATTTTAACTTTGATAATGTTGGTATTAGTATATATTGGTCAAAGTTTTTTTTTTAAATCAGCCCAGTAGTTTTTGAATTTATCCTTTTCAATAAAAAATCAAAGCTTTTTTTTATAATATATACCTATGTACTTCTTCGCAGTTAAATATTTCTATCTGTTAGTCATCAATTATTTGAAATACATAATTCATTATATTGCTCTTATATACGTAGATATTATATTGACATAACCTCAAAATCTCTATTAAATATTCAGATAATCTCCAACTCCGGCATAAATTTAAAATGATTTTTTTTCTACGCATTCTAGAATTAGTTCTCTATCGTTTACCATTGGTTTCAACAATGTGCACGGTTACGCAAAAATAGCCGAGCTCTCTCTAGTAAATTGCCCATTCTCCTTTGAAATAATATGATTACTTGTTTATTAATTATACTGATTAAAATGTCGATAAAGTTTTAAAATTAGTTAAAACTGTAGTAGATAACACTAAAATCACTCAGTCGCGCATTCACCGCTCGATTGTCGCGCGACGCGCTGCCCGCACCGCGGCCTCCAGAACGGTTCATACAAACAAACTATCAGGTCGCGCGAGCCGTGCGTTACACCGCAGTTGCCACCCTGGTGCGTCAAATGCTTTTCAGTACCTTCATAGTCATACTTCTGTAGTCAATCTCGTATTAATACATAAAACCATAATTATTTGTGTATTTCTATTGTTAGTAGACATAAGTAAGGTATGCTTACTTTATCTCCTGTGTTATCTCCTTTCCAGAATTGCTCCGCTTTCGTTTTCCCGACAACGACTGGTGATACTACTTCCAAATGGGATGGGTTGGCGCTCATCGACACCTTGATATACCTGTTTGTCCTCCTGATGAATCGATGTATGTATGTTCCCAAGTGATACTTAATATCACCAGAGCCCTATATCAAAAATTAATTTGAGAAGCAAGAAATTAAAAACATGGAAAGTTTATTGCTTAATTTAAAATAAACTTAAGGCCTCCGTGACCAAATGGCTCGCGAGCCCGTTTCAAGGCAAGCTGTCGCCATCTCTGAGGTCCTGAGTTCGATTCCCGGTCAGGTCAATGTAGAAAATGTACTTTTACCTAAAAGCTTTTTCCGAACTGATAACGAAACTACATGGAAATCGAAATGTGTGTTGCTTACTTTAATTTGGGAGCTGGGCAATGTATGAACTGTGATGTTGCCTAATATTTATTATTATTAATTTATAAACTTGGAACAGAACATAATTTTAACTTACCGGTTCTTTAGGCTCCATCGGTTTAAATTGTGCAAATATATCTGTTAATTGTTTGCGGCACACATTAACGAGCATGTTTAACCGACCTACAAAAAAAAAATAGGAACAATCGGTATCTTACCAGTTTACACCGCTTTTTTCGGTTTTGTAACCCCAAAAAAGTCGCCAAAGACTTAAACAAATTTTAAGTATCTGATTGGTCTGAACTAGGGCAAAATAGTCGGTGGACATGTGTGTTCTGTGATATTAGCCATGATCTACTTCGAGTCGGTAAGTCAGAAGTAAGTATGAGACAGGAGAAGCTCAACAGCGCAGTGGTTAGTGCGTTAGTCTGCCATGCTGAGGTTATGCAACTTTCGCAAGGATGGGATGGGTAACTCGAGCTCCTTTGTGCTTCGCAAGCCACGTTAGTACACTGGTTCCGATTGCATCGGCAGTTGTTAAAACCCACCAACCCAAACTGGTGGTCGCCTTATGATTCCCTCCCTAATTGATTATATCCACAGAAAAGAATTGTTTCCATCAATGGAGACTTTATTAGGCTGTTGATGATCTTCTTGCCTCTATGCTGCATTGCCATTACAATTGATTCCACGCCGAGTCGAGTACCGCTGTCCACGATCTCCTCCAGCATCACAATCATACTCTCGCCGCCTTCGAGACCAAACCGCTTTTCAGCCGGCCATTTGGTAGCAAAATATTTCTCCAAACTATAATCCAAAGAATTGACTTTCACTTTTTTTCACTTTCACCTCAACCAAAATAGTAAATCAAAAGCCTAATGCAAATAGCCTATTTGGAATTTCATGCAATCACGAAGTTAAGTGTCAATATTCAAGGTCCAACGATGGTTTTATAAATATTGTAATTTTTAATTTAAATTTTAGAAGTCGTCTTAACCCTGGTTTGTGGGCTAGATGAATTAGCATTTATCTGGGTGTGCATTCGAGCAAAACATTGTCCTATTGTGTATCATACGGGTTAAAATTTACGCTGTCACCAATCTATACTAAGATTATAAAGAGATAAAGTTTCTAACTTTGATTCGAAAATAGTGATCAGATGATGAAAAATTTTTGGCCTATGGAAAGCAACATCACACGTAGCTGAGAGTTAACAAATGGTCCGGTTCGTGGAAAGAAAGAAAATCGTGGGCTTTGCAGCTTCTGTCTAGATTTTACAAACAGTCTCACAAGTAGGAGTTTCCAGAAGGATTCATCAATCAACTTTATGAATGAATGAATGAAAATATCTTTATTCAAGTAGGCTATTACAAGCACTTTTGAATCGTCCAAAAATTTTTTTTTTCCACTACCACTTGTTCAGGACGTCTTTTAGCTGAAAAGAAGAACAAGCGAAAGAAACTTACCAGCTTTTTATCATAAGTAATGAATGACATTTACATAAACTTTACATATTATTATAATCAAGTATCCAAACCAACCAGTATATGCGAAAGATTGGGTTAACATTTACGATAGTTCAAAGCATCAGAGCTATTGGCATTGACTTCTATTAATACGGCTACGGCGGGAGTAATGGACGAGGTGAGGGGTAATCGCATGTAATGGATGTCAATGTCAGGTCGTCCGATCCTTATCTCTCAAGTGTAAACCCAGCTTATAAATTCATCCAGAGTTGTGTTTATTGTTTAAGTACTGCCAGAACATTATAAAGTGGACTGTATATTACTAGATTCTTTTTAGATATTTTCATAGGATTCACAGAGAAAAGTGCACTTACAACACGGCCTTAGTAAGTCGGCGCATAATGAGCCGCTTCTCTTCATCGCTGCGGTCGAATGAGCCAGGCGTCTCCATGCGCTCTCGGAGGAACTGTATACAGTCTAGGTCATACAGATGCATATACTCCATGCCGATCGAACCGCAATAGACATTTTCTAAACGGTGTATGATCTCCCTAAAGCGTAGGTATTAGACACATGATTGAAGCTATAAGAAGCATATAATTAAATACATTTTCATTGAGTAATGGTACCTTAGAGTCAAAGAATGTTCCTTTCCACCGATAGCAGTCCGATCTGGTAACTCGAACACCATATCCATTTGTTTTTCACCTAGGGGTAAGAAAAACGAAAAGATTATAGGAAAATATGTGTCTCAATTTTTATAGATGTATCAAACGTAAAATGAATATTAGCACTAACATAATACGGTTCCTAATTCACGAGCGACGATACGGCAATCAACACCTTTGGTCTCAGCAGTAGGTAATACCTTCTTCTTGATGAACTTTGCGGCCATCGTCAGTCCCAAAGGATCAGTCTTAGCAAGCAAATGGCCCCTAGCCTATGTGAAGTAATTATGATCAACTAGATGTGTTGATTGATATTGAAGTCAGACCGACGACATTACGGTGTATAACCTTTGATATTCTTAGAAACTTTGAATAATTCAAAATCCTGACTGCGTTAAAACGAATTTAAAAAAATAAATGAATGAATTAACTTAAATAAAAACTAAAAAGAAAGAAACAAGCCCAGTAGTTTAGAATTCTGTTAAGTAATACAGAACAGAACGACTCATAGTCGGGGCCCATTCAAATTTTACCAATCAAATCTTCCCAAGAGGCCCCGACTATGAGTCGTTCTGTTTTTTGTTTTTCTTTAAATTATTTATTTTTATTTTATACTTTTTAGTTACGATTCGTTGACTTCGTTATAAGAAGGTAATTTTGGCAATGAAGTTATTTCATTGAGGGAGTTAATATCGTGTGGATTATTAAGAAACTTGCGGTGGTCTAAACTACTGATGATTAGTCCCTCTAGAGACCTTACTCGGCTCAAAGCTACATATGGTTTATTTTTTTACCAAAAATATTTGTTCTTCATGCTTTTTCACTAATTTTTTTTGTTTGTATATCGTTTATACTTTAAATAAAAAATTTAATCAATAAGTAAGAAAATTAGCGAGAATGTTTTGTTAAACAACTTTAAATCGTTATATATCCTAAACTATTATTTAAAATGATAAAAGGAACCTAAAGATGATTTTAAAATACCCATTCAACGACACCCCACTTGACATAGTTCATCGATTTTTATTTTTTTCATTTAGACAATATGGCGTCTGGTTGTCGGTGTGGTGAATTTTTATTACTGTCATGTCTTTAGTGACACTCGCAAGGTTAAGACGAATCGATTGATGTAAGAATCATCAAAATCGGCCTACGCATTTGGTCTCTAGAACGCCACATAGAAACAAACATACATACATAGACTGATAAACACATTACCCTCCTTTGCGTCGCGCAGTCGTGTAAAAAACAGTGTTAGGATAATCTAAGAAAGTTAAGGAATACGGAACCTGTATTTGGCATCATACATTGATATATATCATTATATATGTAAACTAATAACAAAACTTAGAAATCTTCACGTAGATCTATATTATTAGTTTGCAGCAGAGAACAACATTTAAGGCATTGTCTTACTTTTTTTTTATGTAGATATGGTTTTTGTTACAGAACAATAATATGATCTTACCTGGTAACTTCTTATAAGATTTTGAACAGCTAAATGTAACTTAAGTTTTTCTAAGGAATCATCTTCACCCTGTTTCTTCTTTGATGAAGGTTCTAAAATAAATTAATTGATTTTTGTATAGTACTATATGTAGCTATAGATAAATGTCTATAGAAAAGATAAATATAAAACAGAAACCGAGACAACTACAAGGTACTATAATAATAACCGTTTTAATGAGGTTTTAAATAACTCACTGACAGTTTTCGGGCTGAACTCATCTTCGAATTCTTCAATTTTCAATGCTGGTCCATTTAGACTATCGTAAAAATTATCCCAAGACTAAAAATAAATTTATTTTTAATTAATGATGGATTAATAAGCTGTGGCCTATTAATTATTTTTTTTTTAATTGTAAATGGAGTGATCACTATAAGCGCGCGCGATGAGTAGAGAGGGCTGGGTATGGAGCACTCCCTGCTGGATCGTAGGCCCTTTCGGCACAAGAGAGAAGGTGCACGAAGGGCATTTAGTAGGTATACCATCAGCGTTTTGTTTGACTAATTCGGTCTCACTGAATACACACACCCTGCCGCCTGCCAAGCGGCAGACAAGGACAGTGCATAAACCATTCCCCTACGAAAAAAAAAGAACAAGATGGGTCGATAACCCTATTTTCAACTTAGTGGGATGCTTATCCCAAATGCCAGGTTAGCCAAATTTACCAATATGACCGATAATATTTTATTTCAGTCAGGAATAAACAGGACAAGTCTGCCGCATTATGTTAGCAGAAAATGTAGCGTACTTAGTAAAATGTCGATTGCAAAACCTACGTTATCAATGGCTCCTTTAGCTCGTGCCCAATCTAAATATTGAGCCTCAAGAAAATTTGCATTTGTTCCAGTGAGAAAAGACTCCGCCTTGGACGAGACTGGTGCGATTGGATTGAAGCCACACTGCAAATAAATAATTCATTAATTTGAAAAATCTTTATCAGTGCTGTGTTTGAGAAACAATATTTTTATTATTCGTAAATATTTAACTATGTACCAAAGTAAATACTAGCACAGTATTCTGATTTCAAACTATGCATATCGGGGATGCACAGCTACTTGCTGGAAAGGAATAAAGCAGTGTTTCTCAATTCACTGTCGGGGGTCGACGACTCACCGCGGGTTTGATAGTCGGCCATGTGTGTTGAACAGCTTTTAGAAAACAATATTGTGAACGTGCTAATAACATCCTCACTAAATAAATACTCAAAAGATTTTATTATTTTAGATTACTGATATTAAAAATTGTGGCCCAATATTCGGAACGGCTGCAGTCACTTTGTAGGTTTTCGGCACCGTAAAAAACGCAGTGTTACGACATTTATAACATATATATGGGTATGTAAAAAATTAAAGTGATTTAATTTTATAAAAATTCATTGTCGAGAATGTTAAATAGAAAAATTAATGACGTTTTGTAGTATGGCAAAATTCTATGTCAATTATCATAAATTTCTGTCAAGTAAGATATTGAGGTAACGTATAGAGTATTTGAGGTCTCATACCAATGTCTTAAATCATACTTATTTATATATAATACTTTTAGATGTCTGTCTATTATTATTATGGTTGAGCTATATCTGACAGCAAGTTATTGATATGTTTTTGTTGCTATTCCTAACCTTTTCTATTGCTCAACCGCCTTTTGCTAAAGCGAGTAAGATAGCGTGTAGCCTACACCTTGAGTATTCTAGAGTGCTATCGGACAGCCCTTGTCTCTCCCACTCTAGCAAATGGCCGTTCTGAGCGACAGAAAAGAATAGGGCGACGGAAAAAGGTGATACCGTACTGGTGGCGCTGCCAGATGTAGCTCAAGCTCAACTGAGCTCAATCATTTTATGACAACATCCTCAACAGTGGTGAACAATCTCTCCTCGCATTATGCTCCTCATTCTTGAGGGTCGTGACTCCCTCGCAGATCACTCTCTTTCTGACTACTTTCTTCCACTTGCTTCTGTGTTTCCTATTTAAGCACTTCGTAAACCTATTGTATTAAACTCGTGTGTTCATAAGTTTTGAGACAAACTTTTACATGAAAAAATAAAATGTAATGTTACTGGCTGTTATTTATTTTTTTATCGATTTTGTATTTGGAATGTTAACTATTTGTTTATTTGTATCGTAAATTCATTTGTTTATATTTTTTCGTGATGGAGGGAAAACAAAACAATAACGTACAACGGTTATTTCGCTATTTAAGGCGGCAAAAAACCGATGCAGATTTTCCGCGAGTTGAAAAATTTTCCTGTAAGCCGCAACTTCGTCTATTACACAATACAGAGGTACAAAGAGACAACTTCTCTGCGAACATCAAAATCATTCGAGGGCGACTTCGCCGAAATCTATGTCGCACTCAGAAAAACTCGCTGTGCAGAATAATATTTAGCGAGTTTCAGTGGACAGAATGCTAAAAGAGGCCTATTGCCGTAGAAAGTTCACATTTTAAACGATCGTCTTCTTAAGTTACGACGCGAACATTGTCCATTGCTGCTAAGGAGACATGATGCCAGGAAGATACTCTTCAACGACGAGAAAATTTTTACTGTCAAAGAAAAGTTCAACCGATAAAACAATAAAGTGAACATTAAATGTAGCAAGGATGTCCCAGCTTCTGCACGAACATTTCGTGCACTCATTATCGGGCTAGTGTGATGGTATGGTGGGGAGTTTCGCATGAAGGTGTCACTCCGCTCCATTTCTGCCAACAAAGTGTCAAGATGAAAGCCAAGAATTATCACAGTGACATTTTAAAGCCAGTGGTGAAGCCCCTGTATGGTACGTTATTTCACAATAAGGATTGGGTTTTCAACAAGACTCAGCGCCATCTCATAAGGCAAAAAGCACCCAAGCTTGGTTGAGGGAGAATGTGCCGACCTTTATCGCGGCGGACGAGTGGCTCTCCTCCAGGCCCTACCTCAACCCGCTGGATTATTCTTTATGGACTGAATTAGAGCTCAGGGCCTGCCGAAAGACCCACCCAAACTTGGAGTCACTGAAGTGAATCCTTGTTCAAGAAGCAAAACTAATTCCGCTAGAAAAGATTCGTGCCGCTATTGATGACTGGCCAAATCGTCTAAGGGCTTGTATTAAAAACAAGGGCGGTCATTTTGAATATAATATATATTTTATTGTTGATTATTATCTATTTAATGGTTACTAGGTATATTTAAATGCAGTATGATAAAATATTTTGTAATATTTATGTAATGTTAGGAGCGCAGCACATACATTAAGCCTATTAAACTACAGAAAATAAAACAATATAGGTATACTGGATCATGCTTTATTTAATGTCTTCTTAAAGGTAACACTAGAAAGTATAGGTACTCAGCGTTTAAACAATAAGATTTTTTTTTTTTTTTTTACAAGGTCAAGTCTACATTTGAAAACCAAGTAGTGTGTCATGGTGACATAAATTGTACCTAAGTAATCTTCGATAATATTAGGGTTCGAGTTGGGTTAAATTATATAACCTCACTAAGTAGGAAATTAGGATTGTCAACAGACATTTACAACTTTGGATTGACATAATACACCTACAGTGCTATTAATAAACAAGGTTAGCGTCCGCGTCAGAGTAAATTTACACTAAAATTGCAATTTTAGTGTTAATCCAATTTATACAATTCATATTATACAGATAATAAGCAAACCTACTACCTTCTAGTAGTAAATATGACTCCAGTATATCCTCGTGCTAAGTTAACCTTTGCTAAGTCTTGTTTAATAAAATGAACTTTGACTAATACTAAGTGCAGTCTCAGCGTAAATTTACTCCAACGCTAAACTTACATTTGATAGCTAATTTTACGAAACACAGCTAAAAGAATTGTGGGTATCGTTAAAAAATTACATGAATCGTTGCGTTATGGATATGTAACAGATGGTTATACAAAAATCAGGTAGAAGCAATCGTAAAAATAGAAATTCCATAAAATTCTTAAGTCCATTAAACAAGATTGAGCTGTTACGTTAATAAGTTACTATAGGTAAATCTAAAATAATGTTATTCTCGATAATGGCAATTATGAAAGGGTCGCCAGGCATTTTGAAAGTTTCGGACAGAAATCCAATTAAATATAAATATCTTTCTAATTATCAAACTAAATAACATTCAATCATTTATACTTAACAATTATTGCGTTGGTTGTCGCTTTCAATTTAAACAGTTTTGTTCTGACTACATTTGGACTTCATTGTGGTATACATGCAAAGAATAATTGATTCAATATATCTATTTTTTTTTTATTTATATTTGAACTAAATATACAAAAATAGAAAAAAATCACAAAGCTTTTTTGATCGATTAAAAATACTTCCATTAAAAATTACTAATATATCATTGCCATTAAATAACAAAAGTTATGAAGTACACATGGAATGAAAAAGTTCTATGTAAGTAGATCAATTGTCACCTATCACATTTTATGTGTTTGCTACAATGTCTTTATAAATATACGGAATTAAATTTCGTATTATATAAAAATATTTTATCCTACTTGATGCCGGATTGTTTTTATAATATAAATAATATATAAACATTATTATAAACACAATCTAGCAATCATAATGTAACCATAACAGTATTTTTAAATGCATCTTACATAGATCAATCCAACAATAACCCTTATTCTAAAATCACATCATATTCACTTTATTACTTTAACAACAAATATAGGAATTGATTTTAAAAACTAAAGTCTGGGTTTCGCACGGGTAAGGTTGTAGGCACAGAAACAAGCATATTGAGAAGACTTTCGATAAAAATATAATATATTCGTGTTAGTCTATTTTCTTAGCTTTGGTTTTGGTTTTCTCACTAGGTTTCGGCTTTGAAGGATAAATAATGAACAGTGATATCTGAACTGCACAAAGCACGAAGCCAACCACGTTTTGCAACTGAAAAAGAACACAAATATAAATATTGATTTCCATTAACTATGCTCTAGCTGAAGTCGTTGAAAATATTTTCTAGTAAAAAATGAAGGCTGACAAAGTATTATTGTGTTATAGACTTAATATCTTTACACAAAGAATTTTCTTATTTAATGGTAATTATTACATAATTATAGGAAACAATAAAGAACTCTCAATAAAGTGATGAAACTAGTCATTTTTTATATAATAACCTACAAATAAGTTGAATAGAATAACGCAAATATTAATTAAAAATAAATGATCAGAAAATTATATTACTAAAATTACATAAGTAATGTTAAAATTGAAAATATGGTCATAAAATAAAAAGGTCGGCCAATTTCATCAGCCAATACACATTAAAGTGATTGTATGCTTGATATTTATCTCTAAAAAGTTGATCTTAACTATGGAATTCGGATGAAATGTTATATAAAATATAATATATAATGTGACAAGAATACTTACAACAATAAATGTATTTCTCAATACTATTCCGTAAAGTAGCCACATAAAGGTTACTACAGTCCCCGAAACAATTATTGGAAAAGGCATGCCTTCTGTGCTTTTGTTCTTTATAATTTCTCTCTGTATAAAATAAAAATTTAAATAAAACATTAATGATAGTGTTTATCCAGCAGCATTAAACAACTGATTAAGCAGAGTCAATTACCCCTAGGTTAGAACTACCAATAACGAGTCAATCAACTAATAAAACAGATTAAAAAAACAATGTTTTTCATTCGTTTTATCGTTTAGAGATTCTCGGTTTTTTTTACAATTGTAGTCAATCACATTTTTTATATTGCTTATTAAGATAAAAATGTACTACTACTCCCACTGTATAACTTGGTCATACGAGGGTCAAACTGAAAGTTCTTAGAACTGGCCACTTATAAACAATATAATAAAAAATAATTCTAAAATTTGAAAATATAACTCTTTGCCAATATTACTGAGTATATATTTCATTCATTTGTCATTTGTTTTACGATTTGGCGGCAAATTGAAAATTGTCTGTGTCACGTCATCATGAATTTAACACGAGAAAATTTTCGTGCAATGATTTTTTATGACTTTCGATGTCATTTAAGTCAACAAGAAAGTTATGATAGACTACGATTGGCCTTTCACGATGAAGCCCCATCTCGTGCGACTGTTTACAACTGGTTTAATGAGTTTAAACGTGGTCGCACTAATCTCACTGATGATTTACGTGAGGGACGGCCTTCTACGGCGACGACTGAAGATAACATCTGTGTTGTGCGGCGTATGATAGAGACTGACAAAAGAGTGACCTATCAACAGATTCGGACAAGCTTAGGCATCGGTATGAGTCAAGTGCACAAAATCCTCCACGAACATTTAGCGGTCAGGAAGCTTTGCGCCCGGTGGATACCTCATAATTTGACTGAGGCTCAAAAACTCCATCGTGTGGATTGGTGTCGTAAAATGATTGAAAGATTTAACGGAGGTGACTCAAATGCTGTGTTCGACATACTAACAGGTGACGAAAGCTGGATTTACTGTTACGATCCTAAAACCAAAAGACAATCTGCTCAGTGGGTGTTTCCTTTCGAGGAGTTGCCAACTAAAGTGAAGAGAGATCGAAGTGCGGGAAAAAAAATGGTGGCCTCGTTCTTTGGAAGGATAGGTCATTTTGCAACAATTGTGTTAGAGGATCAAAAAACAGTTTCTGCAGAATGGTACACTACCAATTGTTTGCCACTTGTCTTGGAAAAAGTTCGAGAGAAACGACCTCGCAGTAGGATCCTCCTTCACCACGACAACTTCTCGTCGCACACCGCCAAGCGAACGATCGACTATTTGGCGACATCAAACGTTGAATTACTGGGTCACCCGCCGTATAGCCCCGACCTCGCGCCTTGTGATTTTTATTTATTTCCAAAAATTAAAGAAAAACTTAAAGGAAAGCGGTTTATGAATGCTGAAGAAGCGGTGGCTGCGTATCGCGATGCCATTGAAGAGACCCCTAAGGACGAGTGGGCAAAGTGCTTTTCCCAGTGGTTCCATCGCATGCAGCGGTGTATTGACGTGAATGGACAATATTTTGAAAAGATATAATAAAACTAATAACTGGCTAATGTAATCAGTTTTTGATTTTCTAAGAACTTTCAGTTTGACCCTCGTATCTATTATATCAGATCATCACCACCGCAACTTCTTTGTAATATATCCAAACCAATGGAGCATACCTGTGTTAATTTTGATACCGATACTATCATCTCTCATCGTATCATTGTGTCCAACAACAGATTGTGTATTCAAATATAAAGAAACTAGTCACTTACCAAATCAAATAATGGCGACGCGATCAGATAGAACATAAATGCTGTTATAATCGTTCCAAATCTAGTCTCCACTAATTTCGGATCTTCCGCATTAGCATAAGCTATCAAGGCTGCGGAAACAGCACCCGCTAGACCTATTTGTGCCCAGGTTTTAACTTTATGAGATGTATAGTTGAAGAATATTAATAGGTAAACTATGTTTAGTGCAAGACCAGCGAAGTTGACTTGGATAATATTGTTATCTCGCAGAATATACCCAAATTTTAAATTGAGTATGCACCTGGTGAAAATAAGATCAGTATTTATTGTTGCCGATAAAAATTAAATCGTGGTAATCCTTAAATTAAAATCTTATAACTATTCGTTTTTTCTGTATAAATTTTCTATACGTTTTTATTCCACAGTTCCTATAAAAATTTCAAACTATACATTATCTGAGAGTGCCTGACTTTAGCAAATATGCACTATACTTTTTTTATTTAATATAATAGTGTAAGTAATAAAGTCGTTCTAAAATTGGAATAATAATGCATGCATTTTTTTATTAAAATACATATACGTATAAAAGTTACTTACATGACTAAGCCACCAAGGAATGGCATGATACCAACGCCTCTAGTACTTCCTTGTTTGTAGATATCCCAACACAAAAATGAGCCAGAGAACATTTGTGCAATAGTCACGAACGATGTTATAGAGCCAATCAGCGCTTTGAAGGGCTGCAAGATATCGGCTAGTGCTTCCATTTTACTGCCTGAGAAGGAAAAATAAGAATCATTATTAAAATTTGCTATGATGTAATACCTATTTCGCATTTGGCTTGAAAATGTTTGCCGTAGTTAGCATTATTCAGCATTTTATAATAAGTAGTAAGTATGTTATAACACACCTCGAATAAATGTCGAATATAATTCTATACATTATATAAAACAGTTGCTTACTGCTGGCTATACGCTGAGATCTTTCAAATTATACATACAATTTGGCATAACTTTAAAATTGGAAAAGTGTTTGCTTTTAGGCACATGCGTCATCTTTCAGAACTTATGTTTTGAGCAATGTTTTTGATACAGAGCTTTGCCGTTTTGGCGCTTCTTGAATAGAGAAGATACATTAATTTATTATACTAATTACGGATATAAGATTCTTTTTCACACAGTTCGGAATTAAAAACTGTAACGATAGGTATGTTAGTTATTGGTACTATCGAAATATCTATATTTGCCTATATAGTTATAAAAGATACCAATTTATTTACATTACATAAAAAAATAAAAAGAAGCCTTAAAGAAAAGTAATAAAACAAATTTAAAGTTACCTATAGTAGGTACCAAATTTTCGTTTGTTACCTAAAAATTAAATAATAACATTACGTAAACCTTTTCCTTTAATACGTATAGGTAATGAATAACCTTTATGTTACCTATAATAGGTACCAAATTTTAATTTATTGCCTTAAAATTCAATCAGATGAAAATTTATAGTTTTCTTTAAAGACATCTATGGAAATAAATTTATTGTTGTTCAAAATATATTAAATAAAAAGAACAGGAAAGGAGAATAGGCAAAACTGTATGGAGCCTGGACTATACGCGGCCAAAAGTATTTCTAATAATTATATTATGTAGTCTTACAAATACAGTGAAGATGTTTCATCGCCAAAATATACTTAAAGTAGATAAAATTCATTATTTTTGAGGACAACATCATAATTGAATAAATGTCCTAGCTTAAGATTAGAGTAAAAGAATAGTTAACATGAAACAAAAAAAAGATATTATATCAATTTAATAATATAGCACCGCACATATTACATTATTGTTTACATTCATTATTATATATATACTGTTTTATAAGAAGGTCCAGAACTTATTATTATATACTGCTGGTAATCGTATATCTTCGGCTTGATGTTTTAGCCAAACGAGGTACTAGACTTCGCACATAATATGCGCGTAGCTTCCGAGCGTGCGTCTTCCGCTTAAACACGAACAATAATAATGAGCAATCGCTTCTCGTCCATTTTTGATGGTCAATGACAAAATAAGAAAGGACCAAACTACGGGTCTAGACTAAATTCAAATTCGTAGGGACAAAACATCTTGCTCCTCAATATACTCACTAAATCCCCTTTTTTGTTGCTCTTGGTACACCTCAATATTAAACGACCCCTGTACAAGATGTTTAGCATAATAATAATTACTGTACGATATTGTTCTATGCAATTACATTATTTCGTTTTCGTATTTCATTATTTTCTAAACTAAATGAAATCCATTAAAACTTCCAAAGTAATATTTGTTCCTCAGCATTAGTTATTTCATTTGACACTAATTTTATCAATGGCCGTTTATAACCCAAAACCGCCCATTCTTCTTTATGTTCGCTCTATCTACATTATATGGTATTACTGATTAGCGGCAGATAATATTTTATGAAGTGAAATTTAGCGGTAAGATTAGGTTGTAATTGATTTTATCGTAATTAATCTTGGTTTAACGGTATTGTGGCATTTTATATTTATAATGGATTATAGTTTCATAGGTTTTTTGTTCTGGTTTTTTAAATTTAGATATATCCATCATCAAATTAATTCTTTTCTATGTCAAAAAATATTGTATATACAGGAATTTGTTATCATTAATAGAACATATTATATTAAAAGTATAATAATAAGTGACTTTATTCATTGAGTATAAATTATGGGTCATTCATTTTACACACAAAGGGGACAGGTCAAAATACTCGATATTCTTATCTGAAAAATGTTTCCGATTTCAGTAATATTTGAGTATGTTCTACCAATACATGTCCTTGGTAAGTAATTTTGTTAAAGTAGTGACTGCCTGGAGAATTAGGGAACTACCGGTGTGTTCAGTGTTTCAAGGGCAAAAATTAAAATGTGTTCTTTCATTTAAAAAAAATGCAGTTACAATACTCATTAAATGAATTTATAATATAATACTCTAAATATTATTTATTTTTGTAATCGACTTTGATTCGGCGTACTGCATGGTCACCAATTTGTCAAAATTTCAAAATCCCTTAACTCTCTATCCAGTCACTTTATTAAAATATTTAGCACATGTATCTAGAACATGTATAACATCCTTAAATATTGCTGAAATCGGAAATATTGGGCTTTTTTACCTATCAGCTTAGCGTGAAATGCCCCACAAGTAACGTGTTTATAAACATCTCTTTTCCGTTTTATCCAATGTTAGCAGGGTAAAACAGAGAGCTGTAACGAGAACAATATATTCTTTGCACTGATTAGGGATTTCTCCTGTTGTAACTAAACAACTGTAAAATTTTGCAATTGAAATACTTTCTTATGCTGAATTTATTTTGTTGTTCACACGAATCTATTTCTGAAACAGCTTAACAGCGCTAAACAATAATAAATTTTGATAGTGTTCACGCACTAGCAGTTAGTTCTATATTAAAAACAATCACTTCCTTGTGTTCTATTACAGTAAATTGTCTTTAAATTGATACCACTGCGTCACTAACACACCCACCGTTTTATTGCTAACATCATTGTACCTATGTTGCTAAGTATATTTAAATTGAGTATATAGTATATTTAAATTGTTACAAGTAAAACGAAAGTGAGAGTTACTTTTTGCTTGAACACGGACAGTTCGTATCATTTTAAAACACTTAAAAAATTCTATCAATATTCATCTTATGTCTTAATTTTGATTTACGTCTATTTTTATAATATATATTATTATACTATAATCTATAGTATAGACTCCATGTTGTCAACACAACTACAACCAGCAACATTTTATTAAAAAAATATCTTAATTTACTATTTATGTTATAACCAAGGAAAATTTTTCGATATCGCAATGACTCTTCATTAATCAAATCTTAAAGATAATATAAACCAGCAGATTTTATCGTGAACGACTGCGCGTCGGCGTATTACCTCATTAATATATATTTACCTTGATTACGATGATAAAATAAAATAAAAATATATATAAAGATAATAAATAAAGCTTAGCAGCATTTTCTGTCTCAAATATTTTCTATTTATATTGAAGCAACATCCTATAGTAGTCAAATGATATTAAATAATGTAGAAAAAAAGTTGTCATAACTAAAACTAAAATTAAGGATGCAAGCACATGTTTTCTTATTCTTTCTGAATGCAGATTTACCAGTTCTAAATAAACTTGTTCATCGAAATATAGTAATTTTTAAATTAAGCTATTAATATATAGTACCTACAGTTAAAAAAAATAGAATTCCTTATCAAATTAACATAAACAAATGTATAGGATATGTACACACTATAAAACGAAATTATATTCTAATGTAATTAATTAAGGTTATTGATAGAACTTATGAATTCATTAATTTTTTTATTACTGTATATGGGCTGACAAGAAGAACGAGCGAAAGAAACTTACTACCCTTTAGCAGAATTAACAACATTTATCTAAGTTGTCGCGTTAATCAAAGTTGATATAGGTAGATTAAGCACCTTCATTTTGGTGTTGAAAATATTTTTGCGTAATTTATTTTTCTCCATTATTATATAGGCCGAAAATATAGTACAGTCAACGTCACGTTAGACTATATAAACTGACAAATTTCACCACTCGATTTCAAACCTTAATGTATTGTGGAGTAGAGGTCAAAATCCATTGCAGAAATTTGACATTTGTAGTAACCTGACGTGCAGCTATGTTTACCTACTACACTACATAATATAGTACGGTTAGCAACCCTAGCTTTTACTGGTGATTCTTATGACCAATGTTATTATAATAAAACCAAAGAAATAATGTCCTTAAATTAAATTTATGATGGTTACCCTAGCCTAGCAACATAACCTTGCTGATAATAATGATTAAAATAGGTATAACAAGCGCTTACCGGTTTTGTTATATTAGTTATGGACTAATTCAAAGTTACCGATAACAAATATTTATTTTCTTGGTATTATAAAACAAGGACAAGTGGAAATCAAGTAACAATAGTCACACACTGGGACACTTGATTCCCTTTCAACTTGACGAATGAATGAACTCCGCGAATGAAACAGTAATGAAATCAAAGACCAAAGTATAGAATGCGTAGACTACGATAGAATGAAATTTATGGAATGAATATGTGACTCGAGTACGTAGAATGAATGAATGGCATTGGGTAGTGTAATAAGCCTTTATGGGAGCTCAATCAATAGAGTAGTTTTTTAATGCTCAATCGTCGCAGTTATTTTGATCGATATTACTTTATTTTTTAAGACTGATTGCATAGGACCTTAATTTAAAAGTTAAATACTGTAAATGAAATAATAGGACATGGACTAAAAAAGGAATAATTTTCGACCAGCTGACCATAAGTCAGCTGGTTAGTTATAGGGAAGAGTGAAAAAAAATATGCGGGTGGAATTTTCATTCCTTTACACGTAATATAATCTATACTAATATTATAAAGCTGAAGAGATTGTTTTTTTATTTGAACGTGCTAATCTCAGGAACTACTGGTTCGAACTGAAAATATATATTCATACAATAATGTTTCGGAGCACAGCGACTCGCCTCGCTCCTTGACTCCGACTCGCACTAGGCCGGTTTTTTTGTTACTTCTCTTTCTTGTTATAAATAATAATACAAATACCAACTAATTACTAAAAAACTAAGCAAACAATCAACGCAAAACCATAATACTCCGCGCAGTTAACCGACCGCACGCGCATAGCACAGAATGATCACATAGTGTGCGTACAGTTAGTAGTTAAGACGATTGTTATTCGAATAATCATGGCAGGGAACTACTAAATCGGCAATCGAATGCGCAGTAGCTCAATTTTCGATTTAATTGATCGGTTTTTTTT